ACCGTTTTAACTACAGTAATCATCTCCAGCCCGTAATTATCATACACAGCTTCTGTAAAAAAAAAAAACAAAGAAAAATTTACATTGATTGAATAAATTATCTTAACAAAAAACTTACCAAGGACACTACCTTTGTAAGGATACGCCTCCAAATTTCGTGCTTTACCTCACTCTCATATGCGAGTCTTTAAGCAGGGAAAAATTTCCTAACATATCACGCTGAGCTGTGGGACACGCCCTTGATATGTGACCAACACCACCGCAGCAATAACACTTGAGATCATCTGACCGTCGATGTACATTTTCAGTACGCCAGTTGCTCGCTCCACTGGTCCCGTTGGGACAGTTTCGTTGTATGTGGCTTGGCTTTCTACAGCTATAACAGGCGCCTGTATCTATATCCATACTGCACTCTTTGGCAATATGACCTTGTTCATTGCACTTGTAGCACCGATAAGGTCTTTTGTTGTTTCCATACTCCACAACAGCTCTTTTATCTGACCTATTTCTCCAAGTAAAGCCGCTATTACTATTGCTATGACAATCCCTGGCATAGTGTCCATAACGTCCACATGTGTAGCATTTACTGCTCAGACTGACCTTGCTGACACCATGCATCGGTTGTAAACCAGCTTGTCGTGCCTGTCGTTTACCTGATTCGCTCCTGTCTCGTCTAGAGGTGGGACAGACTCCCGCTATATGGTCAACTCCCCCGCATGAGTAGCACACAATTTCTTCTGTGGAAGGGCAAGTGTGGCGTCCTGGAGATCGCGGTGTCTTGTTTTGCCAGGGTATCCTCTCTGCTGTAGAACTTGCAGCGACGTACGGAGGGGTTTGATTTACTGGCCTCGCCACTCTAGCGTTTTGAGTGCTCTTATAGTTGTCAATAACTTTAAGATTATCTTCCACACTTACCTTAGCAGCACCATTCAGCCTCTCCAACAGATCACAAGTAACAACCGATTTTATCCGATCAACTATCAGGAGGTTCACCAAGTCCTCAAACGTTTCCTTTATTCCCGACTGCTGGACCAACGCTCTCAAAGCGGCTTCTGTGTTGATTGCGAAGCTTCTCATGTCGTCGTGTGTTGGTACTAGCTGGTGGAATCTGACCCTATACTTTTCCTCGTTGAAACCTGCGTGCGTCAATAACTTTACCTTTACTGACTCGAAGTCATGATGCAAGTTCAGTCCCGTCTCAACGAGGAAAGTCTTCAGTTGTCCACTCATCTTGTCCGTCAGAAGGAGCGACCAGTCCTTGGGGTCAATGCCTTGTCTCTTTGCTTGACTCTCAAAATGCCTCACGTACGCACCCAGGTCTTCGTCTACCGCCATCGCCGCCACGTCCCTCAAGCGGGGTACAGGGTTACATACCTTTGCTACAACCTCGACCTTCGCATCTTCTACCCTCCTCAACTCTTCCTTTACCCACTCCGCCAAACTGTCATCGGTCAGCCCGATTAGCTTTCCCTCCTCCTTCAAGACACTTATTAACTGTCTTCTGGCACTCCTGGTAGTCGCCATGCTAAACGGACGAGCCCCCAAATGTTGGGTTCTAGAATCTAGGGGTATATAAATAACAACAGACAAATACGACTTATACAACAATAACACTAACACTCTATAATAACAATAATAATAAGATATTTAATAATATATACAGTACTTTAATAATAAAAGGATCAAAAGGGATCTACAACATAAATACAATACTCAACACCACGTTCCATGTTCCACGTCGACAGCCACACTACAACTAACTGATTCACACACTGGCACACGCTCTGACACCCGTCACCTGACACACCTCACGTGAACACCTCTCGCTCCATGTAAACACACTCAACCAAGGGATACAACTATACACCAAAGGGAGGGTACCTGTAGTTCCAGCACACAACACACACACACACACAAGCAGGGGACATGTAAAGGACGTAACAAATTGCAAAGCCCAGTTTTCCCGACTCAATTACGCGTACAACGCCATCATTTTTTATAAGTCTGCATTTATTATTTTGTGTCCGATTAAAATAAGTCCCCTATACGCCGTATATTATTATGATGAAGTACTGAGGTGTAAAACGATGCAAACTGTCAAAATTGCATGTGATTTTTGTGCACGATTACAATACTTCCTCATACTCTGTATACGAAAAAGTAAAAACTTATGATCAGCTAATAGTAGTGCAAACCCTGCTTCAATAGTGTATTAAATTTATATTAAACTTTGATATAATTATCTCATAAGAAGATTGATTCTTGGAATAATTTCATTTTTAGTTTTTGGTAGTTAATACTAAAACAATGTGTGGTCTGCTAATTATTTTATTAGTAATCCCATAAATTAGTAAGACACATGCTTGAAACAAAAGGGACATAACCTCCACTACACGATTTACATCTATAATTACACATCATACCCATTACAAGATCTACCTCTTTAATGACACATCAAACCGACATCCATGATCTAATTCTATAATGATATATCCACTACAATATCTACCTCTATGTTGTCAACAAAACTATTCAAGTTGAATAAACAAGCAACGCTCGCATGTATCGTTAAATGTTTTCATCACCCATTTTTTAAATATCATATAGCCTACAGGTGTTTTAAAATAATGTATTTTAAGTATTCCTTTAAAATATAACTAAATAAAAATGTTGATATTTTGTATTGTCATCGAAGATATAAATGTACAAGATTAGAAAACAACCGCAACAGCTCAAGTGGGGGAAATTGGGATGGCATGATAGGGTGATAGAGCATACAACTCATCCAGTTCGGAATGCGGGGCTAGAGTCAACCAAGTTCTGATGGGCACCTGACTCACGTTAAGAAAAGTAAAGGCGGATAGTGCTGATCAGACTATCTCTTCATAGGCAGAGGTGGCAGAAACAGATGAGCTCTACTTCATTTGCCATATTGATCGTCAGACCAGGAAGGTAAAAGTTTCTTTTAAATGTGGCAGAAAAACTCATTACAAAATCCATCAAAACATACATACTAACAAAGCAGAGCAGACAGACAAATAAATTAAAGAAAAGCCGTAAAATTGCTTGCTAGACGAAAAACTTTCAAGTTTGATTAATGTAAAATCTTAGACAAAATTATAGGGACTATAATACCTATTTTGTATTCATAGATAATGCAGAGGATAAAAGACACAACGAACTAGGTAGTTATAAGTCGGTAAAGAAAACCCTGAACTCTCAAGTTGAAAGTTCACCATGATAAGAGCGGAAATTGCACTAAGTGACATGTTACTTTGTAAACAAGTATGCTGGTGCGGTAGGTCAAAACTACATTTATCGAAGGAAAAACCAGTATTTTGACCAGCCCCATTATATATATATATATATATATATATATATATATATATATATATATATATATATATATATATATATATATATATATATATAATATAAAGTTCAATTCTGTATGTTTAAGTGTTAGAGTATTATAGTGCTTATGGTCTAAATTTAGGAGTTAAAAAATTACTATTAAAAGTCTTTAAAAACAATTTTCATTTTATATACTTAGAATAATAATTTTCAATTATGAACATTACATAAAATTTTTAAAAAGTGTATCAACGTTTATAAAATTTCTAAAATTGTGTCTGAAATGTATTTGCATTTTGTCCTTTAGTTCTCATAACGTCCCTTGATTTGGAAAACACAATTACTTCCCTTTAAAAAACCATTAAATCGGGGGAAGAAAGAATTTACTTTTTATTATTTTGTTTTGGTGTTAAGAAAAAAAAATAACATGATGAGCGGGGATTGATTAAGTGCAATGTCGTTGGTATTTTTAATACTGCCTTTTATTTATTCTATACACTGAACATACTGTTTACTAATTATTTTTTTTAAATCAATAAGATTTAATAAGCCAGGTCCTACAAATCCTATATGTTTATATCTTTCCATTTACAGATAAGCTTGGAGTATTATAATTTTGTTCACTAAATTGAAACAGGCGCGACCGCCGGCGCCCCTGCACGGTTCGATTTGGTGCCCTGGGCTATCATGTGAGCGCTATGCTGTATAATTTTGTTTTAAACAGTGCGATAGACTATGGATAAGAAAGGTTACTATAGTCTTTAAGTGAATCAAATCCGGAGTCCTCCGGCACCCCGACAGGGTTCTATTTGACGCCCCGGGCCTTCCCGTGTACGCTATGGTACCTACGTTCGCGTAAGTGAGTTCAAAAGACTATGAATAAGTTGGGTACTATAGTCGTTTACTAAGTTGAATCAGGCGGTTACGCCGCACGTCGTCATGGTGCGATTTTACGCCCCGGGCTAGACTGTGGACACTTTGAGTTTATCTTTGCGTTTGTGTTTTCTTTGTGTTTGAGTTTGGGTTTGTGGTTGTGTTTGTATTTGCGTTTGGATTTTGGTTTGGGTTTGTTGTCGTTTGCTTTTTTTCTTTGCGTTTGTGTTTCGTTTGCTATTTTTTTGCGTTTGTGTTTTATTTGTGTTTGTGATTGCGTTTGTGTTTGTGATTGCGTTTGTGTTTGCGTTTGTTTTTGTGTTGTCGTTTGTGTTTGTATTTGCGTGTGTGTTATGTTTGCGTTGTTTGTTTGTCTTGGTGTGTTTTGGTTTTGGTTTTGTTTGGTTGTGGTTGGGTTTGTGTTTGCGTTTGATTTGTTTTCGTTTGCTTTTTTGTTTGCGTTAGTGTTTGTGTTTTCTTTGTGTTTGTGGTTGGGTTTGTCATTGCGTTTATTTTTGTGTTTTCGTTTGTGTTTGTTTTGTGTTAGTGTTATGTTTGCGTGTTTTGTGTGTTTTGGTTGGATGTGGTTAGGGTGGGCAATGCCGGATAAATGCTGATTACTAAACACACAAGTTACGGTCCTTATCAGATACGTTTTTCAGTGCAGGGCCTGGCCAGGACGGCTAGTATATATATATATATATATATATATATATATATATATATATATATATATATATATATATATATATATATATATATATATATCAGTATAGAAATTATTGACGGTTGTTTGCTGTATGGCCTATCGCCAGGGAAACCTGGTCCCAGAAATGCTCCAGTAATTCTTCATTTCTTTCATCCGCTGGTGGAAACTCCGTGTAGCTATTTCTTTTCATGGCCACAAGTAAATCTACAGGCATGTCGTCTGCCGGTGTTGGTTCCAGTACAATCACGTGCAGAACCTGCCTCGCTTTGAACACCTCCTCCATGATTGCCATCTTGACGGAGTATTCCGAATATTCGTCATCCGCGTATAAGCCTGGCTCGGAGACCGGCACAGTTTTTGAACTGTTTTGAACGGCGCTGACGATATCGGAGATGATGAGAGTTCCAGGCAGAAAGTTGCGGTCTGCGACACAGAGCTTATGTCCCCTTTTCTCTTCTAGCTCTCTAAGGCAATCATTGATCACAAAGTTACGTGTGTTTTCTGTGTACAAAATATAAGCATCGAAACGAAAGCCTTCATCGTTAGCGCCGTTTGGTTCAAACCCAACCAGTTTAGCCACGGCGATGTTCCTGATGTAACGAAGCTTCCATCTGTTGCGGTAGATGACGACAAATCCCGCCACGGTGCCAAGCAAGCAGATTAGAGCAACACAAACTACAATAACTAAAGCTTTTGAGGCGCACATTCTCTGGAGGGACTGAACTCGCTTCTGGAGGTTTCCTATCGGTCTGTCAATGCCGTCGTCGAATGTACAATAAAGGTAGTCTTCGTTTAACAATGTTATCTTCGTCTTCATCATCCAAACGATCTGTTCAAGGGAAGAGCACGTGCAGGACAAGGGGTTAGAGGTCAAGTCTATCGAAAGCTTCTCGCCAATTTCATCTAGTTCATCACGGACTCTCTTGTCAATCCAAACAATGGAGTTTTTACTGAGGTCAAGAAGGCGGAGATGTTTCATGTGGGCAAACGACGAGTTGAGTGTCTGGAGTTTGTTTTCTGAGAGTCTCAGAGAGACGAGATGCTTCAGGCCACGAAAGAATTGTCGAGAGAGTTTGTAAATCAGGTTACGAGAAATGTCCAATTCAATGGCGTTTGTCAGGGTCGAGAAAATTGTGCCGTTGATGTCTACCGCAAAATCTGACCCCAGTGAGTTGTCCGAAAGGTCAAGGAATTTTACTGAATTATTTTTGGGAAAAAATTGAGGATTAATGTGCTTGCAGAAATTTTTGCTTAATTTAATTATCTGAAACGTTGCGGGTAGAAAACCATGTCCCCAAGTTGTCAGGAAACTTTCAGAAAAATCAATGTCTGTAAGGCTGTTGTTCGGATCAAGGTGGTTAATAAATAAAATGGTTCCAAAACTGCTGTACTGGGAGGCTTTAAGAACTTGAAGGCTTGGTGGAATTTTGAGAGGCGGTGCATTTACATCGTATGCTGTGGTTAAACTGAGCCTTGCAGGGGTGAAAAGCTTAGAACATTTTTTTCTAACACCAACAGGTTCACTTGGAGAACTTGCATTGAAATTTTGTTTTACTATTTCAAAGTTCTGGAAGCGACCTTCTGAAGAACTTGTAGAGTGTAACCGCGACACTGGACATTTCTCTAACTGTTGAGGCACGTTCCAGGGCACGTCAGCGTTTTGTTCTGAAAGGTCAAGGGTTATCAGATCCTTCAAGTAATCGATGCGGTTAAGAATAAAACTTTTCAGAGAAAGCTGGTTTTCTCTTAACACAAGCCTCTTCAAGGTTCTCGGCAGTTTTTGTAAGAAATCATCACCTAACAGAGCCAACCTGTTTGATGAGAGATCAAGTTCATCGAGTGCGATGTTTCTTATATATTTGGCTTGTGCCGCGTTGAGATAACGACACGGATAAGTGGAATGATACAGATGGATAAAATGAAGAGATTTAAGCGACGAATACTGAAGCCCTTGTAAGTCATCAAAAGCTGTGTACAGATCGTAGTTATCCAATACCTTAAGAGACAACAATGTGAGATTTATTTTCGAAAAAGCCGTAAAATCAACATGCATGACTTTACAGCTATAAATGTATAAATACTTTATGTAAGGGATGTTTTGGAAAAAAGTCGAACTGATGTTTTTTAACGAACAATGTGTCCCTCCACCTATATGGAGGTGAGTTAAGTTACGTAATGTTTGCAACTGGGGTCCAAACTCCACGTCATTTCCCAGACCGTCAATGTAGAGCTGCTCCAGGTTAGTCAACATTCCCAAAGCCTTGTTCGGATAATTGAGCTCGCCACGGGCTATGTACTGAAGATCGATTACTTTCAACTCTCTTAAAGGCTCGAACAAATCTGATGGTAAAAACTTCCAGGTATAGCCGAACACTTTGTTGTGGCTTAAGTTTAAGAATGTCAGGTGTGTTGTGTGCTGGAATGCGCCGTACTCGATGCATTTAATACTATTGGTCGACACATCTAAGCGTGTTAGTTCTGTAAGACCCTCAAGCGTGTAGTTGGTGATTCTATCCAATTTGTTTTTGTTCAGTAAAAGTGTTTTCAGTTTTGGCAACAACCTGAAGCTGCCATCTGTAATAGATTTAATATTGTTTGCAGATAGATCTAAGAATAACAACGGTGACGTCAAATTATGGACGGTATTGTTACTTGTTACCCTGCTAATTTTGCAGGAAGACATAACAGCATGCTCCATTTTGGGATAATATAGAATGTCAGACGTAGGCAGTGAATTAATTTTATTGTACGATAAACGCAGAGACCATAATTCAACTGGAAGTCCTGCAGGGATTGCATGCAAGTTTTTGTTTTCACAGTTAGCGATGAGGTGGTGCTGTGAAGCTGGGTTTTCCTTAGAGCAGTTGCACACCCCACAGATAAACTCGTTGTGGTTGATGGCTGAAGGAACCTGGGCCTGATGATTTTCATCCCCGGGGAGCACTGTCTTACTGGTAGCTCTAATGTCGTCTACATTTTCGCTGGCGTATATCAGCGGCTGGCTCACAACCTTGTACGAGTGAACACTGTTCACAACAGTAATCAACGCAAAGACTGGTAGAAAGCTGAAGATAAATAAATAAATAAATACTCGCTGACATAAAGGTAAAATAAACGTACACCTAATTGCCCGCATGGCACATATCTGTTATATCCTGACACCAACATGGTATATTATTTATTACATCAACACTGAGTTTGAAAGACCATTTCAATTAAAGAATAACACAGAATATGTTCATCAACAAGTCCACAGTGACCGCACAATTTACCCCTCACTTCAGACTTACCCCATAATCCACAACCCAGCATACCAGGCGCACAAAGACATGCTTGTGACATGGATTTAAGTGTAATCACAGCGAAAAGGGAAACAATAATATACGTGGTCTGGGTTGGGTTTTCCCCCCTACACAGCGGGAAAAAGCAACACACACGGTCAGAAACGTAGCTGTTCGTTGAAGTGTTGTCGTGTACACAAGGTGGACAAAGTACAAGATTCGTCACCAACATGACAAAAACAAAAAATAAATAGCTAGATCTAGGTTGTCGGGTTCTCCAAACGTTCCATAACGTATGGCCTTATTGACAGGAAGTTTCATATTAAAAACACACGTACACACACACACACACACACACACACATATATATATATATATATATATATATATATATATATATATATATATACATTTGTGTGTGCGTCTGTCTGTGTGCGTGCGTGTGTGTAGATGTGTGTGTACTAGCAGACAAGTGCGTGGCCAAAATGTAACAATAATAACTTAAATCAATGTGCAAATAACATCATCGGAACGTTGTTTTGTGTGAGGTGCCGTTGAAAATATCAGCCCCGGGTTATCAGTTTGCGCTATCAGCTATTGCTAGAAAACAAATTTATAATTTCCGGCTGAACTCTAGTTATTTAAATGTAAACAAAGTCGGCACTACATTACTTGTAACTAAGTTGTTGAGCGCACGGGGCGTCGGCGCCTGTAAAAGTCACCTGTTAAATTACCGCCATGGGCAGAGGCGTAGCGACCCCTCCCGGCGCCCCGGGACAAACTTTCAATTTGGCTCCGCCCCCCCCCCCCTCCCTCCCCCCCCCCCCCCCCCCCATGTATTTTTAGCGCAATTTCCATTCTGGAGAATTGCGTTTATTAACCCGTCATTTCTGGATGGATGGATGGATGGATGAATGTATGGATGTGTGTCCGCAGCTTTAAGTCGTATCTCCTCCTCAACGAAGCAATATCGATGACTAGTTACAAAAACAATTATGTTAGGCAAGTTACGAGGATGAACATAGGCCATAAAAATTCCGGGTTTCTTTCATGGATTTCCCGGAAAAGCCAAAAAACCTCGAAAAAATGCAGTTTTTGGCCCATATCTCGGCAACCAGACCACTTAGCGACTTGAAACATGTACCAATAATTTAGAACAATATTGCCGAAGAAAGTTTTCAAAAATATCCTTTCGTTTGGTAATAAAAAAAAATTTTGAATTAATTAAAATTTGGACCGAATTAGTAGGCATTTTATGCAACCACACCACACGCGTCATCACGTTCAATAGCTGCGCCATCACGTTCAATGGCTGCGACATCACGTTCGGTAGCTAGGCGCGAAATGGTTTTTAGTCATGTTACTCTATTGTAAATAAAACATGTAAAATACTGAAAAAAAATTATTAAAAAACGTTTTAATAACTAACCAAAGGTTTTACTAACCCTGCTCTTGATTTACGCTACGGCAGAGCTATTTTTAGAAAACATAAGGAAATTGCGCTAAAATTGTCACTAGACTTTTTTTAATTACTTGTTTATGATTATAATTCAAAACTGCAGCTAAAATGAGCTTTTAATTTTTTTTTCTAACCCATTTTGGCGCCCCCCCCCCCTTCGCTACGTCTCTGGCCACGGTAGCCGCCTTGTTTCGGTTTAGACAGACTAGAAACCCACCGTATCCCCAGTGTAGGGCGCTCTTTAAAATGAATGTAGGTGTCAAAGTGCTCATGCGGTAGCCTCATCTGGCGACAATACGCACAAACTCACTTTCTCAAAACATGTGAATGAGAGAATCCACTTTTCCTAACACTGATTCTAAATGTAATATACAATTCTTTCATGCACATGTATGCACGGGTTGCAAATCACCTATAATGAACGGGAAAGAGGAAAAATTTAGTGGAACAAAAAGCCGCACTATGCAGCTTCTATTAATGGACACCAGCGAGAAAAGTCTCAAAGGTATTTGAGAGGTGTATAAATTCATTTAAAAATCATGCACAGCGTAGTTACAATTAATATGGTTATAAAATCCTGTCTATCTGGTTTTTTTCAGACTTTACTAAAGATTGGATGTATTTGATGTTTATAATATTTTCGGTAACTAAATAAAAAATTTTAAAAAAGCAAAAACAATTTGGTTTTCACGTGTAATGGCGACATAAACAATGGCATCCTGCTATTGGATAGGCCGCCATTGATTTTATTGTACACATTGTAAGCTAAAAATAGAAAACTAGGTCATGGGGTTTTAAATTTGCATTGTTATTTAAAAACTTGATCTGCAAAGTTTTGTAAACAAATAGTTATCGATCACTAAGTTACTGTACAGCCAATCAATATTTAGAAATAAATAGAAATGTAGCCTTAAACTCAACAAATTATTTTCAAGTTCTATGGATTTGCAACTTTTATAGCATTTAATCTAAAAATATAAAATTTCTAAATTAATTTTAGGCTTAAGTTTTTATTTTTTATTTTTTTTTACGGTCTAAATTTTAAAAAGCACGTTTTTATTCCATGTCAACAACATTGGGGACGGAATCTCGTCAACTCGCTCGCCTCCATTGTGAACTTTTTATTTTCATGCCATTCAAAATTTGCATGGCATAAAATGGATCTTTCTCTGGTTATATTGAAAATCAAACAGGAATACAGGGAGTGTCACCTGCTCGTACGCTCTAGCTACTGTAACAGATATAGCTAGGTCACTTGGTATCAGATTTCTACGCCACTAGACAGCTGTGGGGTAGAAGTTTTGAAACCAAAGAGGAGAGCTGATCTTTAGTTCCCAACCTTTTTTTTACTCTAGAGCACATTCTAAAATATCGGTAGGGTGGCGGGCACCACCTATTTTAAATCGACAAACTCCTTCCAGAGGCGTAGCGACCCTTCCCGTCACCCGGGGACAAAACTTTCGATTTGCACCCCCCCCCCCCCCACCTCGAATTTTCGATTTGCACCCACCCCCCCCTTCTCAAACTTTCAATTTGCACCCCCCCCCCCTTCTCAAGCTTTCAATTTGCACCACCCCCCCCTCAAACTTTCGATTTGCACCCCCCCCCCTCAAACTTTCGATTTCCATCCCCTTCAACCTTTCAATAATGTTATGAAAAAAATTCTGTCTCTGTCGAATAGTGAGAGGCGGGCACATACGAAACGTTCGGCGGGCGCCAAGGCGCCCGCGGGCACGGGGTTGGGAACCCCTGCTCTATTAAATGTATACAACTAGTCCTTCACCTTAGTTGAGAGCGACTGTTTTCAGTTCAAAATGCACATAACGATCCATCGTATTAAGGATTTAAAAAGCTATACTGTCAGTCAGCAGGTTGTACAGCTCTGCTGTGGGTTGTAATAACCTCTGAATCATTGACATAAAAAGTACACTAAAATCTAGTTTAAACGTTTTACCAAAAATATTGATCAGAAGTGTAACGAAGAGGGGAATCGGTCATGTTGACCCAGTGACTAAGTAAGGCTTTCTGAAACGTTTTTAGTATTTACGGGGAATTTTGCTTATTTTCCTATTTGTCCTCAGAATAGCTTTATCTACTCTTGTCTTAACCCTTCAGTATTGTGAATATTTGGTGTTCGAATTTTCACCTCCAAACATACTTTCAAGTTTAAAAAAAAATCCATCTAATTCGATTTGCATTACAATTATAAGCAAACATGCATCTAGTACTTTCTTGAGAAAACATCGTTACCATTAGGCAGGTTTGAAGGCTGTAGTATAAAGCTAATTTATTATCTTAGCAATTATAAGATTTTGTGTTTAATTTGGTGTGTAACAAACTTTCTTAACCCAGTAGAAAAGAACAAGTCAAGACTTCGAGTTAAACATGTGTAATTCATTGAAACCATGACATGATCATGGGGCATAACATGACATCAATGCAATACAAGAGTAGGAGACAACAGCTCTTACAAAAATAAAGAGCAATTACAAGTTACTTGAGCTATGCAATAAAAAATGTTTTTTTTTTAAATCAAATGAACCCGCTTTGTCATCAAGGTTGTCTCCCATGCAGGCAGGGAGAGTTGTGACACCTGGATTCTAACAACTATACATTCAACATACTTTACTAGAACATATTGACCCAGCTCTGGCAGACAATGAATGACAACACTGAAGATTTGTTCAGCTAACACAATGATAAGTTAGCAGCAATATTTACAAGTGCCAAGCTCACATTGTCACATAGATACCGCAATTAGTTAAAAAAAAAAAAAAACATCATTAAACTTTGAATAATACAGTGAGTACAATGAATTTTACTTACACCTTTCATTTCATTTGATATAAATAGTTAACATTTTGTCAGGACAGTACCACAGGTGTACATCAGTATGTACAGAGATTAAAAAATATTTCTTCAGGTAAAAAATAGACTCATGGAAGTGGACAGGTGAAGATAATAACAGTGATCCCTTGACTGCTTCAAGAGAACATACAACAATTTTAATGGGAGCGCTAACTGCTTCAAGTGAAAAACACAGCATTTCACCATAAGCTACAACTCGATGCTCTCAATGTATACATCTCTAATGACATGGGTGACTTAACAGTTAATAAGGATATATATTTTTTATTCTCGTCAGGTTCTATAAATTGTATTATGTTATTAAGCAATAAGGGGGACCAAGATACACAGATCATGTTTTTATCTTCAAGGCACATGTGCAACTCCATGAAACCATTTTTAATATATCAATACAATAAGATCTTCAGTATTCTGCAGACTTAAGTACATATATACACTTTCTATGTAAGCTATGCAATACTTTGAATAAATTTATTACCATAAATCAATGTGTTTTCATTTTGGTTATCTCAAGGCATCAAATTAACCCATATATTGGAAAATGTTTAAAACTAAGAGCAAGCATGTTTTTAAAAAAAAGTTCAATTCTTCTACACTGAAGGCACTACAATTAATTCAGTAAATATCCATTTATTAATTAACGTTTTAACAACATTACTTTTCTTACAATCAAGGTGGAAAAAAAATTGCTCTCCCATGTTAAAAATGTAAACTAACATAAAATATGTTGTCACTGTTGAACTGAGGAATGTACAGACAATCACATAGCCCATTCAACTCCATCTTTACATCACTGGTTCTATCATATTTACAATTGCCCTTTCTCAACCCATTTTTATGTACAACATACAAATGCAGCATTAGAAGATTCAAGTTTTAATTGTGGAAATAAATGTATCCAGCTAAGCACAGTTTCAATTGGTCCTTTTAATGTATAACTATTTAAACAGATTGTTAACTACATACAGGAATAGAAAAAAATAGTTAATGAGCTCATCAACATTCCTTAAAGTTGAATTCAACTTATTGTTACCATCCTAAAATCACCAACAACAATGTAACCTGGTTGGGGACAACCAGTTGTCAGCAGCACCTTTTAAATAACAATAAGCGAGAGACAAATAACTACTCACTTTACTTCAAAAAGTTACTTATATAAAATGTGAACTTTAGCAAGGTTCTGATTAAAAATTTAAGAGAACAAGTTGCTCATTTTAACAGCTTTATTTTTAAAATTGTGTTCAATTATTGAAAAAGTTTTAAATATATTAATAACATTTTTGGTTTAAATTGTGAGGAGAGGTAATAATACTGCCATGTGAAACTTCTTCATAGTGACCTCTAATACTTCTTTCTAAAACAAGTAATTTTTCATATAAGAGTTCTCTATTAGTATAAACTATTAATATTTTTTTAGTAAATACTTAATCTTTTTAGAAACATTCATTATTATTCAGCAGACACTGCTACAAGTTCTTTTGTTCAAAGCCTTGTACTATTTCCCATAAACAATGGGAAAGGGCTGTGGATGCTTCAACAGCATTCATTGTGTGGTAGTTCAACTGTTGTTCATGTCGACGTAATAATCTGAAACAATTTTGAAATGATTTTTTTATTTTTTGAAGAAAAAAAAATAAACTATACTCGTCTCTTTCTCTGTATTGTAATGCTCCACTTCTAATACTTCTTTTGATCATTGATGTCATTTTCTAGTATTGCTAGGGTGGTTGATTTATTTATGATACACACATTTTTATGCCATTACAACGATGAAGATTTTAAAATATTTATAAGCCATTACCAGGGGTCGGCAACCTTTTGGGAAGGAAGAGCCAAAAGTTACAATTTACCACATTTCACAGTTTTTAAAGAGCCACAATCATTTTTATTTCAATAATATGATATTTGATTAGGTATATATATATATATATATATATATATATATATATATATATATATATATATATATATATATATATATATATATATATATACATATATATATACATTACATTTAAAATAAATAGCATAAAATATGAAATAATATTTATTCATATAAAAACATACACATGTTTCGCACAAAACATATTAAAGTAGTTTAGCAAGCTCTGCTCGAAATTAGAAACTTTACATGGTTATTAAATCTATAACTTTAATTACCGAGTATTGCAGACTAATATTTTTATGAGTTTTAAAAATAAATTAAAATAATTATTAATATTCGTGCATGGAGCTGAAGAGCCGCATCGTGACATCAAAAGAGCCGCATGCGGCTCGCGAGCCGCAGGTTGCCGACCCCTGGCCATTACCATTATCTTTACTGGCACAATTTTGATGTAGGCCTATTTTCTTCTTAAGCTTTATTAATACATATTAAAGATCTATGTGTTTTCTACATTTATTTTGTATAAAGGGACAGTACGGTCAGATGGTTGAGTTTACAATTGCTAACCTGAAAGTTTTTAAGTTCAGACCCCGGGCTCAAGTCCAAAAGACTATCCAGCCCTAATTAGCTGGGCTTAGTCCTGAGCGCACTTTCTGTATACCAGAGTCATTGAAACAGATGAACTCTACTTCATGTGCCACATGTGACAGGAAAAGATATTGTCTGACCCAAAAAACTTCATGGATTGTCTTTTTAGCTAACACCAAAGTACTATCTTAAAACATACATGAATGCTTTCTTAGATGTTTTTACTTTAAAATACTTATTCAAAAACAAAAATGACAACAATACATTTACCTTCTTCCTGTTGATGAAAAGTGGCAGACATTTCTTAAAATAAGTGCAGCTGTTAACCTTATATGCTTTGATACAGGACCTTCTCTTTGCTCCTGGAAAAAATGTTTTAGCATTAATCAATATTACTTTTTGTGTCCATATAATGCCCTGGATGTATTTTATCATTTTTACTAATTAAGGTAGAAAATTATCAAATTTTATGAATTTAAAAGTGATTACAAAACAATACATAAAGTGCAACAATTTTGGCCAAGCACACGTGACTTACAGTAAATTCTGCATATGGCTGTTTTATTGAAAAGCGACGTATAGCTTGCATGGCAGCATCAGGGGGATAAATCATAGGTTGATGAGGTGCAGGTCCAGCAGAAGTTCCTTTATTTTGGTTCGCTGTAAACCTACGCTGACATGCTGTGCGCATAGCCGCTTCAGAACAATGGTGATCCTAAAAGCATTGCAATGTTTTTTTATTTCAAATTTAGAAATCCTGAGAAAATTATGTAATTTTAGTTTTTACTTATTAAGAATGACAATGTATCCCAACCTGGACATGGGAAACAAGTGACCATCTCTTCCGAATCAGCTTTTCACAAGATGTCCACTGACATGATGATTCTGTTACTTTGGGGATGTGATGTTTAAAAACATGCAAAAAAACTAGGCGTGCACTTGAAAAACACCTGCAATTTTAAAAATTGGGGGAAATTTTGACTAAAAGTTACAATGTGTTTCATTATAAATCTCCACAATCCAGTTACTTTATCACAAAAGTAAAATTAGATAGATTTAATAGTATATATTTTAGGTTCAAGAGTTGAAAATAAAAACTAATGCTCATTTGTTTTATTTAATACTTGCAATAACACTGCTTAAAAATAAAATCACTTCAAAACCAGAGAGCAATAGGCCTTATTTCTTTCTAAAAACTAGCCACACAAAATACACTTAATTTTAAAATGTAAAACGTACCTGCGACAGTTAGCCCATTCACACATATATTCTAGAGGAATCTGTACTGGCTTTTGAGCTGAAGTTTGTTGTCCAGCTATTGTTGTAGTATCTGTTTCACCTTTTTTCTTTCGCCTTGGTGGTAAAACTTCCGTTGTTTGAGGTGTTTCCGCTGCTTTAAGTTTTGCTTTAATATTTGGTGTGGTACCATTTACACCTCCCATCCTATCACCATCAGAGGCAGAAATGACACTGTCATTACTGTTATCACTGTCTCTTGAAAGATCTCTACTAAATAAAGGTTTGACAGTTGTGTTGCTCCCTTGGTTTGTTGTATTTGAGGGTGGGCAAGGAAGGGTGGAAATGCGAGGTTTGATTAGCAACTGAGACTGCACTGTTTGTGACGATTGCTGACTTGATTGTACAGATCTAGTAGAAATCACATGCATTTGTGACAAACTATTTTGGGGAGGTATACTCTGCTGTGTTGAAATATTTTGTTGTATAAAAATGTTTTGCTGTGGCTGCTGGACGCTGGTGTTGTGCTGTGGCTGGGCTTGTACAAGCGTATGCTGCTGAGATTGCAGCTGTATTGTTTGCTGCTGAGCCTGTGAGGCTAACTGTGGCAACTGGATGTTTAACTGCTGATTGGGCTGTATCTGCTGTACAGTAGCAACTACCTGTGGTCCAACATTACAAGTCACCTGTGTCAAGTTACCTTGAATTGGTGACTGGCTGGCAGCCCCATTAGAAATGTTGCTGTTGTTAGCTACTTGAGCTGATGGAATGTTAAACTGATGCAAGCCACCATTAACCAACACGCACCCTTGATTCTCAGTACTTGACCTACTTGCTTGAGATTCTGGTTCTATAATCTGATTGGATTTGTTCGAATCAAAACTGTCTACTGGATGTACAAAGCCATTGACTTTTGATGTTTTTTCCATTAACTTATTAATGTCACATCTTTTAGCTACATTGTCTTTTTCTCCATTTTGAATTTCTTTATCAATACTAATACCAGTGGAAAGTGGTGAAGGAGGAAAGTCACTACAAACAGACTCTGGAGAAGCTAAAACACCATTTATATCATGGCTCGTACCATTGCACTGTGTGGACAGTACATTTTGCTGCTGTACTGTATTGTCTGTCACAACCAGAGAAGAGTTCATAATTTGTTGCTGAGGCTGCTGATATATTACACTGGAGTCAGATATGACCAGAGATTCTGAGTGTTGTGAGATATTTGAATTTGGTAGTGCCGTGACATTATGAAGGCCAACTGTGGAGGTGGTGACTGACTGAGTTAAATTCTGATTTCCAGTGGATTGAATAACAAAACTAGGTTGCTGAGTGTGCTGCTGCTGTGTAAAAATGTTTGGTGTATTTCTAATAAAATTACCCGACAGTTGCACAACACCTGGAATTGTTGTTTGATTTGGGGCAAGAACAATTTGCCTGGGCCCAAGCTGATTGGTGATTGTGGGATTTGGAGAAGGATTTGCTGGGTTCTGTGTCACTTGAAGTATATTCTGATTTTGGGTAGATTGAATTAAATTTTGAGTTTGTGGTTGTGAATTTGTATTACCTATGGTCAGAGAAGGTACCATATTGACACTACCTTGTTGTATGATGTTGAGGCCTTGAACTGTAACTCCATGCCTATATTGAGAAGGTACAATAAACGAGACAGTACCTCCTTGGCTACTTTGCTGAATTTGTCCAAATGATGAGCCATTACCTTGTAGTACTAACTGCCGAGAGGGCATAACAATAGTACCAGGTGGCGTTTGTATAACAACAGTGGTAGGTGCTTGCCCAGAAACAGGCTGCTGAGCTTGCACAACAGAGCCACCTGCAATCACTGGAGATGAAATAATCATTTGAGATCCTTGTTGGTTGGTTGAACTGAGCAGAGCTGCAACAGCAGGTGAGGATATTGATTGAGTTACTGATGTGCCTTGCATTGTTGTCACTGAAGTCATAGTCACAGAGCTATTTGTGCTGCCTTGGGGATTGGTTACAAAAACGCTGGAGGGATTTCTGATCAAGTGATTAAATGTCACTGACGATGGCTGGGATGTAGTACCAACACCTACAGAAGAAATTTGTTGAAGGGTTGATGTTTTCGGCATGATAGCACATGGAATACTGGCCTGCTGAACCATCGATACTCCGTTGTTGAAATTCTGCTGTATCAATGGCATGCAAACAGGCTGTGTTACTATAGAAATATTACTGGCTTGACTTGCATCAGACACACGAGAATTTTGTTGCACAACAGAAAATTGATTGTTTTGTACACAAGGAACAGAGTTTCTCTGGAATAAAGTCACAGCTGAATTGTGTAAAGCAGTAGAAATGTTGCTCTGCTGCATAAAAACCGTGTTTTGATTAGTACTTGGCTGGATTACTAGACTAGCTGTACTGCTGTGCACAAGTGGTGCAGCCACATGCTGAGTAGCACTAGTTGATGCTGCTGTGGGGTTTAGGGTATGATTATGCATGCCTAATGTGGACTGCACTACCGTAGATGATGAAGAGACCAATGAGGGTGACATTACATGTGTGGTTGATGTCGTACTTGTAATTACTTGTGAGGGTGGACGGTATTGTTTGTTCAAGGTGGCTTGACTAGAGCTGACAGCCGTAGTGTTGACAATACCACCCAGACTTTGAGAATTTGATGATTGTGGGTGCAAGTTACCAGAATTAACAGTTATCTGAGGCTGACCTAACAGGTTGGATCCAGTATTTGTTATTGGCTCTTGATCAGAAATACCCTGAGACAACTTTTTAGCCAACAAGCTTTTGACAGATAAAGCATCAGAAATATCCATTTTATTGTTTACTTCAGTCTGCAGCGCTTGACTGATGGATGGAAATGACTGAGAAGCAACTGAGCTTGTAGCTTGTGAGGCTGAAATGTTTTTAATATTAATCTGGTTATTCTGATGAGTTTGAGTTGAATTGGTATTGTCGTTGGCCATGTATGCCAATCCTCTTTTAGCAAGTGGTGTTGATATCTGCTGTACTTTGCCATTCTTTATAATTTTACCATGAAGAGAAGTAGCTCCTTTTCCAGGACCTATTGGGGTAGAGGAATGATTTTGTTGATTATTTCTTGAGCTTCCTTGAGCAGAAGTAGTCGATGTGGATGTAGATGAAGTACCTGCATGAACATGTTCAGGGTGTAAAGAAACACGAGGCGGCTCCATGAGTCGCTGTCGTAACGTAGGCGTGTGAGCTAAAGAGTCTACCACCTGAGATTGGGTCTGTTTAGGGCTTACATTCACACTAAGGGGATTACGAACTGAAAGCAAGAAACGAAAAAGTGCTGCAATTTCACACTGTTACAATAATAAATTGAAATAGTAACTTTAAAGTGGTAAAGACAAAACAACAGCCTGTAACAATGTTAACTTTATAAATTAAAAACTCAAATTTTAAAGACAAAACATGTATATCACAATGTACTGGTATCTAAACATAAGGTTAAAACTGTTTAATATTAATTAATTTAAGCCACAGGGTTTCATTTTTTTTTTTCATTTTTTAGACAAATGATAGCACATAAGCAAATGCATGTTAAGGCTTTTCAAAGTTAAATGTTGATACATTAATATTACTATTTAAGACTTATAGATTCATATAGACAAACTTTGCATCTAGAAAAAAATATAGTTATAAACAATATCTGTATATTATAAGCTATGAATGTCAATACATAATTAATTTTAATAGCCAGTACGAAAGAGATTATCTTTTTAAAAATTTAACTAATGTACATGCAGGGTTTTGTTGTATATTTATCAAAATTGTAACAAAATCACAGAACAGAAAATAACTATACATGCAACAGGTAAATGCATTGCAACTTTAACATGAAGCATTAGTCACTTAAAAAAGCAAATATTGAAATTATTTATTTTGGCCAGAAATTATTCTATTGCCCTTCAGACCTTTAGTTCACAACGCCACTAATATTTTTAAGCAGTATGTATGTGAGCATAAGTCTATGCACACATACAATTACATCAAGTAAGAAACTTTACCAATTTGTATGTGTAAAAGCAATAAAATACTTAGTGATACTCTTTGTCTTGAATTTTTTTTTTATTTTGCTACACAAATGCAAAAATTAAGACTTAAGTATTATTAAGCTTTCAGATGAGTTCAGGACCCATGATTCACTTTTTTGTCAACCTAGAATCAACACTATTAAAAAGAGTTTTTAAAGCGATAAATATGCTGCAAGCATTAAACTAATGAACCATTCAATAATTTTATAGCTGTCTAATTAATTACTACAATAAGACCTCAAAGCCAGTGCAACGTTGTCACTATTACTTAACTTGCCATAATTGTTACTTATATATTAAGTTTCAGATGGATGTTCAAATAGATCAATGCCCCTATGTTGACTCAAAAACTTAATCCAACGGTAAATTAAGCATAGGATAAGTAGAAAACATAGTTTTAAACTCTGGTTACAGATAATTAAAATGGGTAAAGAAATTAAATAAAAGCAGGATTGCTTGGATGAAAGCATTCATGCACTAAAAGAATATGATAGTTATTTTTTTATTTAGGTATAGTACTTACCTTTATCAGATGGCATGGTTGTAACAGCAAATGGTCTTTGTGTTGGTCTCTTACATAACCCTTCCAGGAAAACATCTCGATCACCATTTTTTCTGTTGATGCTTAGGACTTCACATTGATGAAATATCACCCTGAAGAGCGATAAAATCAGTAACTAAACTTAAAAATCATTTCAATTATTAAAAGATTTTGCATAAATGATTACAACACAAGCAAAAGTTAATTATTTCAAAGACTTACTTGACCAAATGTAAAAACTCTGCAGAAGACATTGCATTGTTAATTTGAAATTTTCTACAAAACTGTAAGTAGTCTGAGAATAATTCCACTTGATTCACTTTGCTTTTCTTCTTCAGCTCATATGTAGCATTCAACCTAATTAAATTTTTCGAGAAAAAGAAAATGTTACTCTAATAGAAAAATTAAAATAAGACTTTTTACACAAAACAATATAAAAATATGTACACACCAACTTGATGTTGTTGCTTGTATATCAGTGATAGTTTCTTTTACAGGTGTTACCACTTTAGAAAGCTCACCACCACCTGGTCCACTACCTCCACCTCCACTGTCAGGAATAAGACCCAACTGATTTTGAGAATGAGCAGGGACTTGGTAGATATCTGGAAACATAGTAATATTAAAAATTGGAACATTTTTTGAAAATGAGTGGACAAAAGAACTATGAACCTTTTTTTAGAATAATAGAACACAAAAAGGCTACTATATTTTAAGAAATACAAGGAAAAAAACACTAGTCTAATTAAAAATAACATTAAAAAAACTTGCACTTACTGACAGAATCAGGATTAATTGATTGTATCACAGTAGTTGGTTTTCTCAAACTATCCCCATCTTCAGATGTAATGTGGGCAGGAGGTACATATTCCACTACTTTAATCCCAACCAATGAGCCTGGGCCAAAAGACTGGGCTTCAATTGTTATCAAGCTTACTAATGTATCTGAAGATTAAAAAATGCAGTTTATAGTATACATGATAAAAACATGTAGCCCTCTTGATCACTATAGCAAGTAAATACTTTAGATTATTGTTAAAACAAAATAATATAAAACAGTTATTCATAAAAAATACAGGCAGTGAATAAACTGGAGTATTAATAAGTTTTGCACATAAAAACAAAATGTCAAATGACATAAACAAGATGTTTAAAGCAAACTTACCTATAGCTTTGTGTACTTTTGCTATCCGAGTTGTAAAGGGCTCTCCAATTTTAGAGAGTTTATACAGGGCCTCAAGTGTGTGCACTATCAACTGTATATCCTGTACTGTTAGCAACGCAACCAGTCGTGAGTACAAGTCTTCCCTCAGATGATCCAACAACAAAGTTTCATTACACGACAACTGACTTACTTTACTAAGGATCTCCAAGCCTAAGAAATAATAACAATTATAAAAGTTTTGAAATTTCCACAATGAATCAAACTAAAAAATTCAAAATCATGTTAAAACAAGGTCATTATATGGAAAACCACACCAGTCTACGCTGTTTTAAGGACTAAAACAACAAAATAACAACCTACCTTTAACTGAAAAAAAAAAAATAACCTACCTCTAACTAAAAAAAATCTATCCTCTGAGAAGAGGGCATTGTTTAAAAGATCTAAAACCATTGAAGAATTTCGAGAGCCAAGTGATTCAAGTGCAAGCTGTGAAAACAAATCGCAATAACAGTTTAGACAAAACTAGATCAATGAATTGAATAAAATGTACTTAATTGTTAAACAATTAATAATTAAGAAAACACTGACCTCACAAGATAAATTAGCCAAAGTATCAAGTGCTAATTGTTTTAAGCCACCAAAAGAGCTATGCAAACTCAACATAAGAAATCTGGAAGATATAACAGGTTTATTAGTAATAACATTTGAGCAGTGTTTCCAAGCAAGAAAAAAAAATCACTACTTTATTCAGTTTTTTCTTTAAATTTTGGGAGTTACTGGTCTATACTTGTATATCTTATTTTTTTATTTTCAAATGATACTCACTTGTAAACTAAATAGCTGTTTGCAAGTATTTTTTGGTTAGCTTCCTCAAATGATAAATTATGCAGAAAAACAGCCAACTGAGGAAAAATTTAACAAAATTTTAAAAGTTTATATACATTTTGAGAAAGATTAAGATATATCTGTGAATAAAAGTAACAAACATACTTGTAAAACCCTTTGGCCTTCTACATCTAATGTTCCAAGATCTCGACCGACGTTTAATACTTCAATTCCAACTTGCTCTTCTGAAAATATATTTTACATTCATAAAATCGAATAGATATAGTCATTTTAATAAAAAAAATTTTGAGTTTATGAAATGGTTTATTTCTAGAAAAGTTTATTTGATTTAAAAAGGGAAATACTTTGAGAATACTGCTTTCCATTCCAAGTGATGAGAGCCTTGACATCTCTTTTACTGACAGTTTCAAACCAGAACTATTGAAATAAATACAGTAATTGGAATTTTACAAAAAAAAAAAAACTATGATCATTCTGGATAATAAAGCTAATCCAATACATTTTAAATAGTGTTTTATAAAGCAGCAAATTTTTTTGGCACATGAAACATAGTATAGGTGTACTTATGCAAAAAGTTTATTGTAAAAAGACATTTTAATTATTATAACTCTCACTTCACAAATAATTATACAAATATCAATGTCAAAAACAAAACCTACCCTCAGAAAATTTCTATTTGCTGAAGATGCCCAACAGTTTTGATATAAATTCTGCATGTCTTCAGAATCTGAAATGTATGCAAACTTGAAAGAGTCATTGTTTTCTACTCTGCAACTAAGGTAAATAACAAGACAAAAACTTGTCAGACTACAAAGAATTTTACTTACAATATAAAAAAAGGCAACAGGGAAGATGTAGTTATGGTAATCTACATGATCTACTAAAAATGTTATTTGGCCTGTCAAGGTGTTTGAGTTAATTAACTAAGCTTGACCCATAAACCGTTTTCAGATATACTGCCATTTAACAGTACACAGACATACCAGCTAATCAATAATTTTATTAAACATCATTTCTAAATACACTAATATAATGCATTTAAAAATTTGTTTGGTATGAAAATTTTAAAGTTTTTTTTCTTCAAATTTACCATAAAAATTAATTATGCAAAGGAATAGATGTGGCACATATTCTTTCTTTTCAATGGATAAAGGGCATTTGGGTTAGGTTTTTTTCTTTATGTTATATTGAGTATAAGAAGTGTGAATGTAATGAGAAAATAAAATGTGTTAGTGTGAGATTATATGCAGTATAATAAATGATGAGCTGGTTTAGATTTTTCAACAATGTAAGGAGCCAAATTTCAAAATTACATGATATAAATGTTTTAAAAATTGCATCATTATTGTGACATAGTTCTTGCATTCTAGTTACAAGGATTATTTACAACGTAACTATAAAAACTGACCTTCTTCAAATATTCCAATGTGAGCTAGAAGAAGGCGAATCATGTGAGAGGTCTTCTCTAGCCTCATACAATGCTTTCCTTCAGTAGAAAGCAACACACACACATTCACTGCCATATCCACTTCATTTGGTAATCCACTTCTCAAAGACAGTTCAAGCTTTTCATAATCCTTTTGATCGTACAAATCAGTCGACAGGTTATACTGTTGTCTCTGAGCATCTGCAAAGCAACACATGCATATTTAATTACAGAAAAAAGCTGTAGCAATCAGAATATTCATTTTTTCATAAGTTAAAGCATTAAATTTCTTGGTTATTTTAAGTTATATTGTTTAAAGAAAATAACATGATTAAAAACAAAAATTTAGTAAGCGGGGAGCATCAAAATATTTTGAATTTTTTATCAACAGTAATGTTTAAAATACCTGTAAGTCTATGTTGGTTATGGTTATAATGTAATGGAATCGTTTCTATAGGCAAACAAATTTTTTTCCTAGCAGGACCATCTTCTTCTTCATTATTTCGAGTATCTGGATCTTCACCAAGGAAGTTTACCTTCTCATACAGATTCAAATACCTATAAATAAAATAACCATTATTCAAAATTAAAAATGAGTACAATATACTAGAAAAAATATTAAGGCACAAATCCTCAACAATGAAACTGTTAATGATTTATAATTGGCTCAGATATTAGTGTAAGTTTAATAATTGCACACTGAAAACATTGCATATTTATGTCATCTATGATATCATGATAAACATAATTTGACAAGTGTAAAAATGTTATAAAATTCAAACATTGCTTTAGAAACTACTGCAATTACTAAATTAAACTTTTAACAAAAATATTTAATATTTATATTATAACCATTATCTTTTTTTACCTGAAATATATATTTTTTAATGCCTGAGCACCATTAACACATCCTTTTGGCAGACCAAATTCTTCTTGGAAATCTTCCCAATGTTGTTCATAATTTACCTATTTGAATGAATGAATGGAGAAAAAAATTAAACCTACTAACAGCAAAAAAGAATTATCAGTAACATCCCAGTAACATTTAACATGCATGCAGATTACTTAAAGGAATTGAAATAAAAGCAAGCATAGTGGCTGGTATTTTTTAACAACAGATGTAATTGTTTTGCTTTTTAAAATCCATTTTTTGTTTGTAACTTTTAATTACCTTAATTACATACATTGGCCAACATTTTGGCTTCAATCACAAATTTAAATAACTAAAACAAATATTCTTTTTAAATAAATATATTATGTTTACCTTCTGCCATCCTCCCCTTGATGTTACACGTTGATAAAGGTGATACAAATCAACTTCCTTGCTTCCAATTTTAGGGATTCTATAAAATGGTGTCCTAAAACAAAAAAAAAAAGAATAATCTAGAAGTGCACTACAACTGTTCATGAACAAAAAGTGACAACTATTAAATCTATTGTGAATATTATATATGCCCCTAATAGACCTTGACTATAAGATTTGCTTAGTTATAATGTATGCTGGTATTATTTTCCAGTCCTGGGTCTGTAAAAAAATTTTTTGCACAAGTAAGTTAAACAGTAAATGTATATCTTTTAGAACGCATATTGTAATGAATTATATTGATATGGTCAACATACTCAGAAAATATAATATGTGGACTTAATTGAATGAATACAGAAACTAGCTATGGCACAGTTTAATATTAATCTTGAACTTATTTTCCCTGTTTAAACATTAAAATTTGTCTCATAATGCTATAACCTGGGTAGTGAAAATACATACCTTTAAAATTATACCATACAATTAATCAATATCAAATTAAAACATGGTTTAAGTTTTAAACCTATCTAAAAATAGCTAAAATATTTTCTAGAGAACTTTTATTGTAATGAGAAGACCATTAATATTCACATATAAAAATCCTAAATGAAAATAAAATTGTAGTGAACTATTATTTTTGCAAGTAAAAGTCCACTAAATATTTTTTAAATTTCAGTCACATTTTTTTAAATCAAATCCAAAACAGCTGCAATTTGACAGAAACAATGAAAGATCTATATTATAGTGCATTTATATTATAAATTGTTATAAAAACATTAAGAAAAATAATCACTAAAATGCTAATTTAATTATTTATTAAATTTTCAATGCAAAATGTAATCTTCAATTTCCATAATAAGGTTGAAACAAAATTTTCTTTTTAATTTAGGTGAAGGCCATAGCTAATCAAAGGTAATCATGGTTTATTTATCAATGAATCTTTGTTACAGGTTCCAATATAAATCTTTTGACTTCATAACAACATTTACTGGCTAAATAACATGTTTATGTATACAATAATATTTTCAACTACAAAGTTTTTGAAAATTAATTAATTTCAACTATTTAACTAAATATTGAGCTAACTTTAATTTGAATGGTCATATTTATGTACTTCTATTAATAACATGGCTCACAGAAGCTATTTTAACTAGTATTACTATTCTGACTCAATTGCAGAAAAATCTGAATCAAAGCGTTCATATTGAATACTGTATAGCCCTAACAGCAATAAGGTAAATAGACTTAGGTCAGCATAATTTTTTTGTAAAAATAGCAAATATATAAAGTAGAGCCCCCCCCTCCACACAGCCCTATCCTTTTACCAAGAGGCAACAACCACTGATTCTAGACTAGTAGAAGATTCTTGTAATGTCAGTTATACTCTCATGGCCAAGCAAGAAAGATCAAAACAATTTATTACACTGCTCTCTTCTTAGAAGGTATCAGCTTTGTAAAAGCATATGCACCTATATCCCAGTAGGCACTACCTAGCCATTAACACATAACCACATAATATTTCTGAGGCCAATCTTTGTTCAAGTCTTCAATACATTGGTTGCAGTACATTTTGAACTTTTTTTTATAACTATGGTTAGATTAATTTCATTTTGGTTAATCTTTATTTGCATACTGCTTGGATCCATAGTTTTATACATGAAGAAAACTTCAGAAAAATGCTTGCAGTCTCAAAGATGCATTCAAACAAAAAGAAACTGGAGGAAGTAAACAGGTAGAGGAAACAGGCAATCATAAAGCCTGAGCCCCCAAATAAATATAATAAAATTTTCATTATTTAAAAGTGCAGACTAAGTACAATGTGAAATGTGTAAGCTGGTTTCACAAAGAATGTGTGGGCATAGTTCTAACTATTGGCTTATAATCAAAATTAGTCTTGATGAAATTTCATCATCTGCCCATTGGCTGGGTTCTTGATTTTTGGGTTGTGCTTGTCAATATTTAATTAGACTAGTTTAAAATAAATTCCACTACAACTATTGTTTTTATGTGTGAGAAGTGTCAGAATTGTATTGCTATATTTGCAATACTAGGAAATGCTTTGGTACTAACTTCTAAGACTGCAGGTGGGCCTCATCACAGTTATGTTTGTGGTATAGATCTAGTTAACCTAAACCTAAGTGTTTAACAGGCAGAAAATAATTCCATATTATTTGTATTTTGTTTGATCTACCGATACAGTAATAATCTGTACTCGTGTATTTAATTGCTATGGGGTGATAAAAGCTTTCCCAAATTTTAATAAGCCGCAGAAAGCAGAAAAAAAAGCATGGTGTTCTATTTATTACAGTAGCCGTGTGGACATGTAGCTGGACTCAAGGTTATACTGGGTCTAATGTCTAGTGATAAGCTTATTGGGGAGATGGTGATCATTTCTAACCAGTCCATTATAATTTTTTTTCGCTTTTCCATGATGATGGTGTAACACAGATCTAAATCTAGCTAGAATGATGGAATCTAGATTTAGTTAGATCTACTTTATAGTTTAGTCCTACAGAAAAGATTTGATCTGGAACTGAATGCTGACAAGTCGATCTAGATTTTGGATGATTTTATGTAGGCCTACTGAATGTCTGATAATAGACTCTTCCATAAAATAGGTGTGTTGGGTTGATAGTAGTATTGTAATCTCGACTAATTTTATAATTAGAAATTAGGGTAGGACCAGGGTTGGGGTTAGGGACAAGGTTAGCATTGACATTAGCCAGCAATGTGTGTATTTAGTCAACTACCAGTAACCTTACACCCCTTTTTTAAAGAAGATTGAAAGATTGAATTATCCTACACTGGTATAAAAATTCCCCCCCCCCCTTGACACTAAATCTCAAATTTAGATTCTAGCTCAAGCAGCCTATCTAGGGTTCTCTTAATTTGTCTATTAGATCTAGATCTAGAATCTAGCTAGATAGACTAGATCTAGAATTTCTAGACTAGCCTAGACGTCTATCTTTGCCTACTTTTTTTGCTAACTGTAACAGGAATTGTCCGATTTGTGGAAAAGAAAACTAGGCCATCATGAAGTCAAATGATACACAACATTATTTCTAATTGGCAGCGAACAGATCTAAACATATATTTTAGACTTTCAAACACAGACCACAACTATGACTTACCCTCTGTTTGCATTGAAACGCCGAAGGTCTGCAATAAAGCTTTGACGCTGTTTTTCATATTCACACGAGATGTTGTCGACAGGCTCCTCTTTGTTCGAAATGTTAGCCATCTTTTTTATTGAGTACAAATGAAAACTGACACAAGAAAAACGAAGTCCGAATCTGTACCTAGTGCGCCAACGCTTCTTGTTAGCGCAACATCAATATCAGCAGCTAAAACGCTGTCAGATTGGCAAAACCGCGTTATTTTGGGGGGGAATTCCACTCAGTCGGAGTATCCCGGCTAACAGAGAAGAGTGACCGCTTTCTCTGCATAAAATCACAACCAAGAAAACGCGTCACAAGCCTATATTTGACCCCAATTTTATTAAGATGAATAAGTTTATGAAATTTAGCACTGTATATTGCGGCCTTCTGGCCGTGTCCGGCACTCACATTTTGGTCCATGCATTGAAAAATTGACAAAAACCACAACAAAAACACATAATGATCATGCCAGTGAGAAATTCTTCCTAGAGGGATAGATGCAATTGATCAATAGACCTGGTGATAGCGTCAAAATGGCGGAGCCCATGCGTCCTTCGTACTTTTAGGGCACGCTATTAACAATTTAAAACTAACAAGAAAGAAATGATTACCGACTAGAATAAACACTTTTATGCATATATATTTCTGAATTGTTGTTAATATACTTTTACTTTGCTTATTATAACGGATAATTTCGAAATGGCGGGAAATGGACAGACAATAATGACTGACTCATGACCTCAAGAAGAACCGTAACTCGGAATTTTGGATCTCCTTGCTGAAAATTACATATAATGCACCGTTTACGTAGGCCATGTTTTTTGTACTTAGTGATCTAAGTTCTATGCATGAATAAACTTAAAGATCTACGTACGCCAATAAATATATCAACATATTATTATAGGCCAACATTTCGTGTATGTTGATGTGTACGCCTATAGTCACAAATTTAGTTGAACAAAAGTTGTCTCAACCTACAAAACTATATGAGGAAACACTATCTTGCGAATCAACTGCCCTTACTTATTTTATTGTTCATGCGACTACTAGATCTAGATCTACTACTATTTTTATTTTTAAAAGCCTAATATGTAAATATGGCTTTATTAAAAAAAACTTTCTGATTTAGAATTCTATATGTATATTATTATTATGCATAGCGTTTGTAAAATATGAGAATACTTTTGACCAATGAAACTGTGAAATAGCTTAATAGTTTTAAAGCATTATAATAATCTGCATAAAAATAAATAAATCTAACCCTCATCATATGTTCTCATAATTCAAAATTGACTAACCCGTAAACGTATTAATTACAATCACAATATTACCACATACGTATTTGTTTATTTACGGCGATTAGGTTAACAAATGGGATAAGCATTTAATTATTGCAAATTTCACCTCCATTCCCACCCTAAGCGATTTTTCTTTTGTTCTTGTTTCTCGGTTTCCAGGAATTGCGAGCACTCGTTTATTTGTGACCCCGATCAGCTGGTGGAAACGGCGATCGATATAACGATACGCTGGGACGATGACATGGGGGAAACCCCTCTTTTAGTAAGATGGCTACACATAGCAGACGAAAATAGCTTTTTTTTTTTCTTCACGCATTGGGAGCAGTGCGCAGGAGTTTTCCCTAGAACTAGGCGCTACAAACGCAGTCATCAGCGTGGGTCTACACTTGGTGACGCCTGATGTTACATGCGAAGGAGTTGTCTGGGACGCTTCGGCTCTCGACGTTCATTTTAAATTTCAAGCATACCCGCATATCTATTACTACGAGACTTAGAATCTAGTCCCAAATCGTTTTACCAGTATTCCTATGGATACAAAAACACAAGCAGATCTAAAATGCCAATAAATTGTGTTTCAATTGTCTGTGCAGATTAAAGTTTAAAGGCAATGTAATTTTCTTCAATAAGTTAGCGACAGTAAACTGCAGCACGTTTGAACCAGTGTTTCATTCAGACTTTTCTTGAAGGGAGGGGAGAGAATTGAAATTTCCGGAGTAGGGGGGATCAGACTAAAATTTCCCGGGTGCGGACACTGGTAAAAGTATAAATTTTCTATATGAATTATATTTCGTTGGGGGGGGGGGGGGTGGATGGGGAAGAGCGGAGTTTCTTTCAGGCATCCCCCTACCCGAAGAAAGACTACCCCCCCCCCCCCCCGAACGAAATGGAATTTATATAGAAAACATATACTTTTACCAGTGTCCGCCCCGCTCCCCTGAAAATTTTGACCGCCCCCCCCCCCCCCCCCCGGAGAAAAAGAGCGGGCGGTAGACGTGTTGGGGGGGGGGGCACTAGAGATGCCTGAAAGAAACTCTGCTTTGAACTGTATTGTAGCTGATTATCCTGGGTTGAAATCATCTTGTTGGATCATTATATAGGCTAAAACGGCATTTACGATTATAAAAAAAGTTAACCGTAAAGTCCAACAAACGCCTTAACCAAATATTACAAAATCATAACTTCATTTATCTTAGTCATCTAAATCAAATAGTCTGTAAGCTGAACTATCATTGAAAGCGATGTCTCGTTCAGTGGAGAAGAAAATTCATGAAAAAGTCGTATAAAATATGTGTTCACACATTCGCATGCATTCGTATAAACATATTAGGTAACCTTTACACATGGAGATGACAGAGCGAGTCCAAAGGCGTAGCGAGCTATTCCGGCGCCCGAGGTGGACTATCAATTTTGCGCCCCTCCCTCCCATTTCTATGTATAGTTATTCCTGTCTGTGAACCCCCCCCCCCCAACCCCACCCAGTTGGGAAGGCTTGTAGCGCTTCTTACCTGTTACTATCCCGTAACATGTTCTATTTCGGTGTCACATAATTTTTAAATTAGTGTGAAAAGCTTTGCAGTCGTTTATTTTCGTAACTGAGTATAATTCAATACTTCAGCTTGAAATGAGCTTTAAATTAATTTTTCTAGCCCTTTTGGCTCCCACTTGGGATCGGCGCCCGGGGCGGCTGCCCCGCCCACCCTCCCCTAGCTACGCCACTGAAGGAAAGTCCAGGCCCTGCGACTAAAGGACATAATATTAAATTGGTACTCTTAATGAAAGTGCGTCAAAACGTCTTTTGTCGCTAAAACTCGCGACAAAATGACACAAAATTCAGTGGCGTTACAAGACAGGGGTGCGGTCACTCCCAGGCGACACTATTTAGGTAAAATGTACTGTCAAAACAATGCTTTATCAGTTTAAAAAAACACTATATTAGTACTGGGAGAGAATGACACCAAACCGAAAATCTAAATTTGTTGGAAGGGGTTGGGTGATACTCCCAATTACTGCACGGGATGACGTCACCGCAATAATGTATTCAGAATGGGCACAGACAAAAGGACCCACAACAAATTAACTCTTGTCAAAAGGAGACACAACAGTGTTCTCCTAACGAAAAAAAATGACCCTGTCAAGAGGTGATCCATAAGAAAACGAATATTCATAATCATTGCGGGAAGACGTGTGGCACAGGGTAGGTTTAAATTGTGTGTCGTGCGTGGAGTTCGAATGCAATGATTATGATTATTGCTAAAACATAAATTGTCCAATTAAGCTGAAAGGTGAATGTACAAGACTTGATCAAAATGATTTTCCTTTAATCTATAATATTATATCAATTCATAGCATAATTCGTCTGATAATTACGTTTATAGGACAACAACACTAAGCAGCGGGAAGTCTCAAAATCACTTTCTTTTTCATCTTCTTCTTCGTTCTTAGATGTATTGTTAAACGGGATTACCCACCTCCACCCACCCACCCCCCTCACAACACAGTTAAGTATTACGCGTCAACAGGTTGGCGTTGTCAATGTTTCTTTCATGCATCGCTTCAGTGGGGGGGGGGGGGGGGTGTAATGGGCGACACGTTTACCCCCCCCCCCCTTCACGAATTAAATAGAATATATATAGAAAATATATACTTTTACCAGAGTCCGCCCCCGGAAAAAAAAGTCAGGGAACCTTTGTCTATACAAGCTAGAAAGAGGTAAAGTATAGCATACATTGAGATAAATTAAGTAATTTTAAGTAAAATTTACTTTTAATGTTTGTTTCAATACTAGCAATATTCCATGAACAAAACTTAAGACGATTGGTGTTTGCTTGATTTGAAAACGTTTACGTATTTTAACTCTGATTTGGGGATAAAAGTAATGTTTGGACCCACTTTTACCGGATTATTCCCCCCCCCCCCCCCCCCACTCCCCCCACATCCCAAAAAAGCTACACCCATCCTCATCTCTTATAATAACCTTTTTCTCTTTTTTAAAAAACAAATTCGTATTGTTTTGTGTTTAGGCCTACGTAGGTAAAATAACTAATAACTATAGTAATCATTTTGGCCCTATGGGTTGTTCAACTTTTAAAAGAATGTTGTAAAAATTGCTTGTTTTGGTCAATGGTAGACGAAAAAAGCAGCGCGCTTCTTTCCTGTATCGAGCTTTCGAGAAAAAAAAAACTGAGCTTACATCCTTTTAAGATTTGGAGTAAATAAACGCGTTGCTTATTTCCTCTACCTAAACAAAAAACAAATCTAATGTGAAAACAAAAACGCCTTTATAAAAGATATGCTTGAAAGAAACAGAATCAAATGATTTTTTTTTTTAAAATTTAGTGAGTGCTGCTGTTGTTTGGGCACTTCTTGCAAATATTTCTTGTTTCGCTCCCTCATTAGATAGTATGGCGCCAAGGGGGGGGGGGGGGGTCCCTACATTGTTTATTTCGTCTACCGTCGATCGAAATAAGCATAGAATCGTCAGATGCGTCATAAAGCGGTGGTGCTGTTTGCACCGGGTGACACCATTTAGAATTTAGGGGGTGACGGCTACTCGAAAAGTCGTAAATGTAATGTTAAAACAATGTTTTATTCAGGTAAATAATATATTATTAAAGTGAGACGGTGTCTCCGAATCGAACATGCTAAAATTGTTGGAGATGGTGGGGTGACACCCTCAGTTATACTGCACAGGGTGACAACCGACCTAGTGATCTCACAGAGACCAGTAGGCTAATTATCCCAGTAGTCTATTTTAGCTTACTTAATAATTATATAATAATAGTGTCGATAATTATTAAAAAAATTTCAGCGACATAAATCTACGTTTTCCAAATCGGGTGACATAGATTAGCAGTAGGTTACGAAATGGCAAGTGCAGTTTACTCGGGGTCCTATAATAAATTCCAGCTGCTTTGTCGTGTGTGGCAGTTTTGTCGGGCATTGTTGGACGGGATCCTTCCTGCCGTCGTTTTGTCGGCTTCTTTTTGTCACGGGAATATCTTTATGCCTATATGCTATATATTGACGGATTTACAGCTTCTAAACTATAGATGATTACGGAATAGACTATAGGGATTCTATGATGCTTGTATGTTCCGGGGTGGAACTTCATATTTCAGTGCGGAAAACGCAGTAGTTTACTTATATTGTAAACTGCTATACTGCTATGCAGTTTCCCCCCTCGGTTTTAGTCAAAGGGAGATCAGTCAATTATTTTATAATTTTTCAGCATGTTTTTCAGTGGTAGTGTGTCAGTGTACTAGTGGAGAGTATAGGAATAATGTCTATCAATAAAAAGAATATCGTTCCCTGTATAACCTGGGTGAAACGGGGTTGTGCTAAACAGAAACCAGATAAGGTAAGAAAGCCATGGATAACTAAATTTTACTACTTTTTAAAGTTTTACTGAGCTTTACTGTTTAAAAAATTGTAAACTGTGGAGTGTAGTGTGTAGAACTGTAGGTTAGAGTAGCAGACTGTGTAGAGAGCAGAGAGTGTTGTAGGGTCATTTTTAAATTTATTGTACATTGTAAAGTACTGTAAAGTCAAGCCATACTACTAGAATCTAACTACCCTAACTGCCTAACAGTCTCCATTAAAAACCACATTTAATTATCTAGCTTTTAAAAATTATCCAAAATAATCATAATGTAAACATCATGAAAGCCGAAAACCACATTTTACCTCCCAACCGGCATAACAGGACATTGTGAACTTGTGTACACAAGTTTTAAAATGCAATTGTGTCAACATAGGTTATTTTACTCACCGGAAAAAATCAAAACAACTTGTTAATAATAAACTAGATCTAGTCATTTATTAAATTCAAATTAAATTGGTAAAAGAAAATATTATTATAGGCCTACTCACTGTATACTACACTGTGACTCAGCTAAGGAGATTCTCATTATTATTTCAATTTCATTTTACTTCTTATAAATATAAGTCAAAGCCGACTCAAAGCAAAAGACCCCAGGTTAAAAGGTTTAGTCAGGCGATTAGGGATATGTTAACTGCTAAACTTAAATATTATAATAATAAACTTTCTTTTTCTGCAGATTACTTTAGATAAAGAAGAGCTAAAGAAAATTATAGAAAAAAATCAAGAGTAAGTATTCCATTGACACTAGGCATAAGTCGTTTTAAAGCTTCATTATGCCTAAAGAGTTTGTTGGTGTTGTTATTAAACTTCATTTACACCACTTAATTACTTAGCCTATTCTAAAGACTGAAGAGTAGTTACATTGTAATGTAATATTTTGTGCTTATTAAACTTAAGTAATGTTCAAATTTGTCAACATTTCAATTTTTGAAAATTTTGTTGTTTGATTTTTTTTTCTAGCATACTTGACAATAATGAAAAAGATTCAGATAGTGATGCGGAAGAAGCAGGGAGTGTTGATGAAGACAATGAAGAAGATTTTGCTTCTGCAATTAAAAAAGCGCAAAAAATGGCATCTACAATAAAAAAGAAGAAGAAAAAGAACCCTCCCGCAACAAAACATAAGCTGGATGCTGAAATGGAAGATGAAGATGATGACATTGTCAAAAGATATGGATTTGATGACTATGAAATGGATGACATGCGTTAGTAAAATTTTATTTAGACAATTAATTTCATATTTAAATAAAACACTATGAATGAAGGGCTCAGTGAAAAATATATCCCCAGTGCACTTTCACAGATCTCAGACAATATAATTTATAATTAAATTCAGTTGAAAAATGTTTTGTTGAACTATTTGTATCAGCATCTTGAGTTGTTCCTTAACACCCTAAAGACGGAGCGGTATTGGAGATGTTTCGTAATGCTCTTAAGTGACTTAAGACTGGGCTTTATCAGAGAAGCTGTGCCAAGAAGAGAGGGCCTATTTTTTACCCCCCCCCCCCCCCCCCCCTTCCCCCAAAATAGAAATTTAGTAAACTTTCAGTGGAAATCACTGCTTAAGTGACAGGACAGTATGAATCAAAATTTAAAGAAGCAATCTGATTGGCTATTTCTTCTTTCTTCTTCAGTCTTAATTGTAATGTTGGATGGTATTTCCTCCAACAATTAAGTATTATGTCTCAACCTGTTATGCTCCATATAGGCAGCTGACTTTGATTTCAGTCTAGTTTTCTTTTTGGATTTGGGTTGCTTCCATAGCTTTTGTCCATCCAAGAACAAACTACTATGCAGCTGTTGTTTGATTTTGGAGTCTTCTCCCCTGGATGGTTTGCTGTCCCCAGCTATCAAGCATCATCTGCCTGGTTGTTTGAACTTTTTGGTTTAGCAACCATGAGGTTAACCAACCATCATTGGTTGATATGATACAAGAAAGCCAATTGTTTGGCTTCTACTATGATGGCTGAAACCCAGCCGATAGATTGGCCATCGACTGCTTTGTCTTTTTGGTTATAAAACCTATAGTCGAAAGATAGGCTTACATTCTCAAGATGGTTTAACCTCTCTTAGAAGTAATCCAGTAATGTGCAGTTCTTAATTTTTGTAATTAAAAGCACTTTTTCAAGTCCTTCAAATAATAAAAAGATCTTAACAAATTCAGTTTACATCATTTTTGTTATTAAAAAATTTTAAATCGCCAAATTGATATTGTGTTGTCATTTTTAAAATAATCTCTATAGCCACAGACTTTATGCATGGCATTGGTGGACTCACTCCATTTGCTTCCAATGAAGAAGATCCCTACATAACATTGAAAAACGATGTAAGTTCTACTGCTCTTGTGAAGTTGTTGATGCTTTGGTAAAAAAAACGTATCACATTTTAGTTTGCTACAAAATAATCTCTCCTTTATTTTTCTTATCTCGTGAGGTAATTTTACTCTTTAAAAGCATTAATTATTCTTATGCTTTCTTTTAGTTGGCTTTGTTTTAAATACACTTTATTTTTCCAAATTATGTTTTAGCAAATAAAAATAGTAATAATGCAGTTTGTTTACATTTTGCAAAACTAATGACTGAAAAATTATTTTAAGTATTCAAAGCGGTTTAAAAAACTGTTTAATTGAAAAACTGTATAAGCAGAGCTAGTAATATTGCTGTGGCTTAGCTAATTACAGTAAGTTTTGTTGATGTTTACTAAATTTACAGGTAGACAGTGATGATGAAGATTTTGTACTGAAGCCAACAGATAATCTTATAGCTTTAGGCAGAATTACAGAAGAGGCTGCTGTTCTAGAAGTACATGGTAAAGTTTCTTTGATCTTTGTTAACCAGTTTTTTAATTTAAATTTGTTGATCCTGTTACATAAAACTCTAATTGTGGTAAATATGATACATTAACAGTTAAAGTAAATTGCTTATTTTATTGCCACCTTATTCTCTTATTTATAATTGATCTTATAATCATTAAGTTATGGATCTTTTCCTGAAGATATAAATGCTTTCAATAATTTTAACAACCATTTTGAAAATTGAGCTCAAAAACCAGGTTTAGATTAAACATGAATTGAAATATCTTGCATAGAAAATAGACCTTTTTTGGATAATTTTTAATTCATAAGGCTTTTTATTATATTCAATTTTAAAACTTCCTCAGTCTACAATGGTGACCTGAGCAATTTATTCATCCATCATGACTATATCCTCCCAACCTTCCCACTGGTGCTGGAGTGGCTGGATTTTGACGTTGCAGATGAAAGCAAAGGTATGTTTCATTCAAACATGTTAGGTTTGGTATTTCTCTTTATATTTTGTTTGCTTTTGTTGTAAACTAACTATGCAGTGAGTTTGAATTAAAAAGTGGTGTTTTTTTTTAGGAAACTTTGTAGCAATAGGTACAATGGAACCAGATATTGGCATTTGGGACTTAGATGTTGTAGACTCTTTAGAGCCAGTTTCAGTTTTAGAGGGAAATAAGCACAGAAGCAAGAAAAAGAAAATGAAGAAGGTATATAAGTCATCTTTAATTGTTTTCTTAGGTGTATAAATTTCAAAATGTTTCAAAACATAGACTTAGCTTTATGTACTGTTAGCCTCCTCACAGATAAAAGGCAGTTGCAGCTTCATCATTTTGATTGAAGACTAAACAAACAAATGGTGACTCAGTCTAGCACTTTTTTTGCTTGTCAGTAAAAACACATCAATCTTGTCTAATGGCCACAATATCCAAATAAAGAGACAAGTAGTGGAGAACACTAGAACTTTGTACTTCTAATTATCTTTTATTTGTGAGAAAACTAACATTGTGTTTTTATTATTACTAATTAAATGCAACTTACTGTAGTCATAGTTTTATCTAGTCTGTTAAATAAAAAAAAAATTAAGAAGGAAATTAAGAAGCAAAACTAAAATGAGGAATGTATATTCTCCCATTTAAAAAAAATTATCAATACACTTGACTGTACACATATTAAGAGAGATGAATTGTATGAAATTAGGTTGAAAGTTTGGTAGAAGGACACAGTGATTCTGTATTGGACCTGTCTTGGAATAAAAATGTTAGGTAAGTCTAACAAATTGAGTTTTCAGTGTCTTCCTGCACTTGTCAAGTGTTTTTATTTTTAAATTTTCTCCTCTTTGTCTGTAGTCTTTATTTTCTGAGATTTTCATTAGTTTAAAATTTTATAAATTATGTGTACATTCTCTGAACCATGAAATCAACTGCCTTGTTTTAGTGATAACAGTATTTTACATTGCTAGTGTAAAACAAAGGGTTGGCCTAATGACCAGTTGTTAACTTGGATTATAAATGAACGTATTCTCAAAGTTTTTATTCAAAGTTAAACATAATTTGTAATGTAGATGTTTTATTTCATTCGTATCAGTAGTTTTGATGGTAAATTTTAATATCTCAGGAATGTGTTAGCAAGTGCCTCAGCTGACAAGACAGTGTGTTTGTGGGATCTTACTCAGGGGAAAGTTGTTACAGCTTTGAAACACCACTCACAACAGGTAATTCAAGATTTTTTAAAAATGGTTAGCAGTTAACCTTTGTAACATGATAATTAAAGCTTTAAAAAGTTCTAAACTATTATCAAGTGTCTTTCAACATGAGAACACATCATTTTAAATTTCAGGTTCAGTGTGTGAGCTGGCATCCTGTAGAACCACAGTCTCTTCTTAGTGGATCCTTTGATAAGTAAGCTCTAAAGACTTACACATTTCTTTAAGATTTTTTTGTAAGATATTAAAAAACTCTGGCTTAAGTGGTTGGAACTAGCATCATTTGGTCATTGTGAAATTCTAGGGATATAATGATAGTTTATGAAGCTTTTCACATCATCTTGTTCAGTTATCTGAATTGGAGGCCTTAATAAATAGTGAAACTCACCCCAAACACATTACAAATTTGGATTGTTGCTTTTATCAAACGCTTTAAAATCCCCTTGTGGATGGTAGCCAAATGCCTCGTCATCTAATTAGTGACGCGCATGAATGGATTAACAAGATTCCCACTGTCCCTATCTACTATCACGGGTTTACGATACACTTCATTACGCCACCGATCTTGGTTTTAGATTTATTTATTTTTGGTCGGATTCGGTTTATTATTAATTTATCTAATACGCTATACATACTTTAATTCATTAATTACATTTATCTATGTATTCATTTAATTATTTAAGTATTTGTTCAACTAAAAATTATCAATTTAAGGCATAAGACTTACAGAAAACGATTGCACTTGAGTTTAAAACTTAAATTGAATAGCTTTTTATTTTTGCAACACATTTTGATCATAAAGTACTGTAGTAAAATAACTTGGTATTTTAAATGTTAAACTTATTGTTTTGTTTTAGTCTCGCAGCTGTAGTTGACTGTAGAAGCCCAGGAGAAAATGTAAAAACATGGAAATTGGATGGTGAAGTGGAGAGAGCCATATGGAATCATTTTTCTCCCTTTCAGTTTTTGGTAATTTCACATTGTTTATGTTGAGATAGAAAATATGATTTAATGACAGTGTCACAGACTGTATTATTATGTATCTTTATTATATTGTGTTTTGCATGAATGAAGAGTACCTGGCTAGCGATCGTCATGTGTTTTTTCATGTTTTTGGGTGAGATCGCTCATGTACGTAAGGGGAGAGAAAGTGGTGAATAAAAGAGGGAGCGAAAGGTGAACGGGTGTTGTGTGCTAGGACTTGGGACTGGAACGATGGCAGTGAATGTAAGATGTCTCCATGACTTGGAGTCGTGATTATTATTTGTACCTATATCAGTTGATCTTCAAATATGGATGTACCACGGATTTATCTGTACATAGTGTAAATAAAGTTGTCATTTGAAGTTGCCACTGTTGCTCGTGTTCCTGTATGAAAGCTAACCCACAACAACAAAGAATTCATGTTGTTACATATGGTGTCAGAAGTGGAGGCAATAAAGTGATGTTGCTACATTGTATTACTGTTACTTATGATGTCACAAGTGGTTGAAGAATTGGTGCTACATATGTCAGAAATGGAGATATTACAGTCTGTGGTCTTCCACTGTTTACCAAGTACGTCAAGTTCTTGAAAGTCATCTATCTACACTCAAGTCAGAAGGGTTGCTGTAGTCAAGTCAGACGTTTTGTTCAAGTCAAGTCATCAACGTGATAATTTTTATCACCTTATTTCGATATTGTCTCACCAATGTCGAGTAAATATCGTCTGTGTGTTTTTTCTGTTTGGATTTAGCCGATCAAGTCTTAGTGTTTCTTTTCTACTGTTTGGATTTAGCTGTTCAAGTTTTTTCTATATGGATTAGCTGTTCAAGTTCTTCTACTGTGGATGAGCAGATCTAGTTTATTAATTGTAAACTGTTCCTAAAAATGTCTTATCTAAAACTGGACAAATTTCTACTCTGTAACAGGCTACTAGAACTATTTTGAATTTTTTCAACTTTTTGGAATCAACAAAGTGAACTATTTTTGGACGTATATATGTACTATGAACTTTTCTTGGATTACCAGATGTCTGTAATCAACTAAAACAAGCCAGAAACCAAGAAAGGGTATTGTAAATTAATTAACATTTATCTATTGTCAACTAATGAATTTATATTTTATGTCATAAATAGAAAATATATCAAAATGTCAAGTCGTACATATTATAAAGAGCTAATGAAGGAGCTCGACATTCCGATGGTCAAGATGTCAAGACTAGAAGAATATATGGAAATGGCGAGGGATCTAGGCATTAAGAAGATGAAGAAGAAGATAGCCTGGGCAACCAATCGACTTGAACAAGACAGAGAAGGAGAAAAAGAAGCATTGGACAAAGAAACAGAACAACCCCGACTAGTTCATGAAGAAGTAATTAGAGAATTAGATGATGAGATAGAAATAATGCGTGATAGATTAAGAGATGCTACATACACACATGAACCAAAATTAGAAAGTCAACAGGCAGAACTTGAAGAAGTAAATATTGGCAACCTTTGGAATGAAGAACAGAGTAACATAGTCCAGGAAGAATTGAAACCCAAGGATAAAACAGAGGTTGAACTTAATAATGATTTAAAGGTGACAGATACATTAGAATGTCTTAAGATTGACTCTTTATTGACTCAAACGCAGGTACACGAGAATATTATTGAAAGTTGTATCATAAGTCCATCAGAGAATGGCAGTCAACAAGAAACAAGTCCATCAGAGAATGGTAGTCAAAATGATTTAATAAGCCCATCAGTCAATGGCAGTGATGATTTAATAAGTCCATCGGAGAATGGCAGGAATCATGATAAACTAATGATGATTAATGAATCAGTGAACTTAATAAGCCACAATGAAGAGAACGTACCTATTGAGGAGTTACTTAGAAATCTGGAGTCAAACTATAAAGAAGATATACTAGAACTCAAGAATAAATTTAACAAAGAAATGGAGAAATTAACACAGAAATTTATGTGTGAACTAGAATCAATAAAGAAGCACAAGGAAGTTAAGAAAGATGAAACAGTAACTAGAAACTACAATGTCATTGGTGCACAGAATGAAAGTAAAAGAAATTTAGCAAACTATGAATACAGTCAACATGTTAATAAGAATGTCATTAATGTCATTAATGCACAGAATGAAAGAAAAAGAAATTTAGCAAACTATGAATACAGTCACCATGTTTATAAGAAGCCAAAATCTAGATGTTTTTACTGCGGAAAAACAGGTCATTACCAAAATCAATGTTGGCATAGGTTGGCAAATCAGAGAAGAAACAATTATGTACACAGAAAGTCATGTGAGGAATACAGTAATTTAAGAAATAATGTATCAAGTTCAAATCAGAATAACAAAAGTGTGAATAGGTATACTAATGGAAGTTACCGACGCAACACATATTATGAGAGGCCAAAGCAATGCCATAATATTTATATTGAGTTGGTTGATGAACCAAACGAGCGTACACAAAGCAAGATAACTACTGACGTTGTTCAGAAACCAGAGGAGAATATTAAAACAAATGAAGTAACACAAGTTACACGAAATCTAGGAAATGATTATGGTAGCACAGCTAAAAGCTACAATTTGAGGGAGAGATGGCATACAGGTCATCGTCAACTGCACGAGAACGATTACTCATGCTATAGAGGATGCTAAGATAAATTATCAATTGACAGTTTATTAATATTATACAGTCTGTAACTGTAATATATAAATATCAAATAATGTGTTTGAGTAAACAGAAATTGTGTACTATATCTAAAGAATGTAAACTGTATTATGTTAAACCTATTCTATACTATTAATTAACAGGGAATAATGTATAAAGTAAAAGTTAGAGATTATTTATTCCGCATAACAATAAGACGGAAGTCTCAATGATGAATTGTATCAGTCGATACCTGTGAAAGGCAAGAATGTTGTGTTGTGACCTAGATATGACTGAAATGGGTCGACTAGGGGAGACAACAAAGTATATTACTCATGCGTGGTAATAACATACCTTGATGATAAGGAAGTTTTTTTTACCACATAGGATATAGTTATTTAAATTATGAGTTGAATTAAGTCTTTGATAATTTCAACTATGTATTATGTTTGGTAATAAGGTCATGTACCAGACTCGTTTGGTAATTTATTACACTCATTTGTCTTGTTTATACTACAGTTACTGGGTAATTGAAATGTTTTTTTTCTCCTATGTGAATGTATATTGATGCATTAAATATTACATATAATGCTTGTACATTTAAAGTTTTTGTTCAAAACACTGACATATTTTAATTATCACTGATATAGTCACTACATACTGTTGTATTTGTATGCACTATAAATTTATGACTACAAGTGCTTAGTCTAAAATGAATATATTTTACTCTACTTTGAGTTGTACACAATTTTTTGTTGTCTGGCACATGATCCTGCCCTACCAATACTGTATTTATAAATTTTGTTGTCTGGCACATGATCCTGCCCTACTAATATTGTATTTATAAATTTTGTTACACAAAATTTTATTCGAAGGGGGGACGTGTCACAGACTGTATTATTATGTATCTTTATTATATTGTGTTTTGCATGAATGAAGAGTACCTGGCTAGCGATCGTCATGTGTTTTTTCATGTTTTTGGGTGAGATCGCTCATGTACGTAAGGGGAGAGAAAGTGGTGAATAAAAGAGGGAGCGAAAGGTGAACGGGTGTTGTGTGCTAGGACTTGGGACTGGAACGATGGCAGTGAATGTAAGATGTCTCCATGACTTGGAGTCGTGATTATTATTTGTACCTATATCAGTTGATCTTCAAATATGGATGTACCACGGATTTATCTGTACATAGTGTAAATAAAGTTGTCATTTGAAGTTGCCACTGTTGCTCGTGTTCCTGTATGAAAGCTAACCCACAACAACAAAGAATTCATGTTGTTACAGACAGCATTTAAGATCTGGACGCTCATCACATCAACACTCATTAGAACTTATTAAATTGTATTAATTTTTTTTTAATGTGTGAAATATCTAGTTTTCTTACTGAAATAGACGTTTTAAAAATAATTTAAATAGTTATTAATTTTTTTATAATATTTGCTTAATTTTTTTTAATCTTGTTTTTCACAATAATATAAGTAAACACTTTAACATTTAGAAAATGCATGTTTGTTCTAATAATATACTACAACAGCAAGTTGATTATACACTACAATAGCATGTTGATTATGTAGTATTATTGTGTGGCTGATTCAAATCTAAATTTTATCTTCTTTTATTAGAGGCGTATGAATTGAACTTGATTTAATAATATACTTTATAATGTTTGTTCTAGGCTAGCACAGATAAAGGAATGTTGTATGAAGTAGATGTTAGGCAAGACAAACCATTATTTACACTTTCTGCTCATGGGGAAGCTGTAACAGGTCAGTTGTGTATATCAACACATTTTTTAAATCTATCAAATAAAAGCAGTTCTATCGTATGCTCCATTAAATAAATATTTCTGTAGGAAGGATTTTTTTTCAGATGAAGTTGATTTCTGCCCATTTTAAAAAGTAGTTTACTGTTTTAGGTGTAAGCTTAAGCTCACAAATACCTGGACTTCTTGTGACAACCTCACCTGACAAGCATTTGAAGGTCTGGGATATTCTCAACAGCAAACCATCACTCGTGCTCAGCCGCAATTTAAAGATGGTAGGTTGGGTTTTTCTAATTCACTAATGTTACGATCCACATTCTCCTCCCCATGTTTAAACTCAAAGGTATGCATAGAACCGGATTATTTAGCTTTCCACAATAATCTTAGGATTGATACAGGAGCTTCTTTAATTAATGGATATACTGAATTATTATTTTGGACACTCCACTTTTTCACATGTAATGCTTATCATCTACTTATGGGTGTTATTTTGCTTGTCTTAACAATTTAAAATAAGCTGTTGCAAAAAAAATAATACTGATCATATATGTGTATTTATTTAGGACATACTGCACTGTGTCACCTGTAATCCTGATCATCCGTTTGTGTATGCTGTTGGTGCAAACAGGGATTTTAAAGTATGGGACATAAGGGAGAGTGCTGCAGGTAGAAACAAATGTTCATTTGGTTTTTAGTAGTACCACAGCTCGTCCTACATTTTAGAGAACTTAAATCACTCACTGTGTTAATGCTTGACTAGAAACTAGACACAAATTTACCTGTTTGATGAAAATTGTGTAGTTTTCAGGCTAAATTAAAAATAAAATTACCTTTCTAGTCAGTATTTTTAATTTCTAACTATGAACAAGCTAATGTATTTGAACATACTTTTAAGTTCTTCATTAACCAGACAAAAATTAGATTTAAAATTTAATTTTAAAGCATCTTACTTTTCCCAATATATTTTAAATTAAAACTCTTTTGTCCTTACATCCAACAGTAAGACGCCACTTCTATGATCGAATGCCAGCCCCTCTTGCTGCTGAATGTGCAGATGATTATGAAGATCTACCAGAAGAAACAGCTACAGATGCTTTAGCAAACCTTAACATGGAAGATGATGAAGATGCTATTGAGGAAGAGGAGATGCTAGCTGGAGACAGGGGAAAAAAGAATTTGCATGAAGCTTCTGTAGATGATGGTGAGGGTAAGAAGAAAAAAAAGAAGAGAAAGAAGAAAAAGAAAAATGTGTCTATTGGAACGGTTATAGAATAAAAGAAAAGCTATCTCATCAAATGTGTGCCTTTTATGCTTTAATACAATTTAGATATTGTAAAAGTCTATTAACCCTTTGTTGTTAGGATAAAAATGATTTTACTTACGGACAGGCCAGGTGAAAGCACTGCGCATTTTTCAAATTTAAAAAAAAATTACACCTAAAACTATTATTTTGATAAAAATACGTAGAATTAATTTTTAGTTTTTTAAAGACACTGGAACTAGACCTTTCTTTTTCAAAATACATTTATTATTGTAATCCAAGACCTATTCATCAGCAGAAACATTATTATTTGGGTATCTTTGAAATCTCTTACTCAACAAGATTCGGTACGACACGTAAATAACATAGTTGAGGTGCACAAGTCAGTATCACAAATTAATATGATGATTGGCACACAGGTCTGTAAAGTGCTGTTAAACTGTGGTGGCAGTCAATTGTGAATCCTTGATAAATATGCTGCAAAATTGTGTTTAGTATTTGATGTGAATGGTATTTTGGTGTATTGAATGGGTATGAGGGTATGTGTATTAATAAAATATGTTGAATGTGATGATGCAAGGATGTGATGTGCGAGAAGAGGTTTTGGTTGTTATGGGAAATAGTTTAAGTTAGTCTTCGTTTTGGTCTTCTCACGTGAGGGTGTGGAAGTCTTCGTCATGTCGTCGTCGTGTCTATTATATGTAATTAAATGATGAAAATGAACAACGCCGTCCTGTGATACTTTAAATTGGATCGTTTGTGAATGTGGTATTTCAAGTCTTTCGACCCCATCCAGATCTCACATCATACAGTATTTTTTTCAAAGATGTCCCTGTGAAAATCTGTACAAATAAATGTATAAAAAGTAGGTGGACAAAGCTGGTGTAATTTTGATAGGATTATTTGATATCTTTGGCTATCCATTTTTAGTTTGCAAAAACAAATGTTTTTTGAGTTGTTTAGCTAATTGTCACAACTCAATAAACACTTTTAAAATGTGAAGTGGGAAGATACATTTTATTATTCTAAGATCTTTATAAACATGCACTTGCAGACAGGCCTTAGTTTAAAATTATGTAATAAATAACGAACAATTAAATTAGTCTTTTACAATTTTTGTTATTGTAAACTATTGGTCAATTTAATAGTACATGTAATGTGCCATTATTTACAAAATGAAATTAAACTCATTAAAAGTTAGATTGATGAGAAATTACACCTGAAAATTGTACACTATGCAATTTGATAATAGATGATTATAAAAACAGTTACAGAATTGCAGTTGACAACAAAGCTTTGGTACCCAAATATTCAAAAGTATTTAAGTACACTTCACAACGGGTACCAGAAAGTGAACACTAACCACTAAGGTTTTATTTTATGTATATAAATCTTTAAATAGGTTTGTTATTTTTTAAAAACACTACTAAACCTGTTAACTTGTAGTGCACTGTGGTAATTCATACAGTCTGTGTTAGTAGTTGAAATGATAGAACAATATATGATTATGCAACTGAAATACTGAACTGAAAAACAACAGTAGCTTATTAAAATATAAATGTAAAATAGCTCAATAGCAATGGCTATAGTTTTAATTACCAATGACCAATATGACTTTTTTATTTAGCAGCAATACAAAATTTAATAAAAATTCAGTTGAACAGTTTTATAAAACAATAATAAAATAAGTTATTTGTTAACAAATTACTTCATATTGATGGATAAAAAAACAAGTTAAACCAGAAATTACACGTTTAGAAATATATGAATTGTACAATTATTTCTGTCATATTATTAATAAAACATAATTTTCAGAAGAGACTATCAATCAACTTTTTCATAAACTTCCTCTTCCTTGGATTCCTGTACTCCACTAGCCTCTTCTTTGTCATCTCCCCCAGGGACCCATAGGCCTGAGTCAATGCAGCGCTTTATGTGGTATGCTGCTTCCTCTTGAGGCATTTCTGCCACTGTCTTTTGCAGCAATGCTATGTCTTGAGCCTCAAAGCAAGCCCGCAGTTTCTGTTTGAAAGTTTAAATAAGTGATTCAACTACTTAAACAGAAGCGAATTCAAAAAATACTTTAGTTAATTGAGAGAAATAATATAGAAAAAATAACTAAGGTATTTAAATCTTTTGTTTAATTTAAATGATGGGGAATTAATTAAAAATTAACTTACTTCTGGAAGTGATTGCATCACTTCTTCAGGGTCTAAGCCTCCAGGACCTAAACGTTTTTTACGCTCTTCCTGTATTTATAATAAAACAATTTTTTAAATTATAACAATTTACTAATTTATGAGTAGTCCTACCCATACGGGTAGGGGACACGTGGGAGATAAAAATAGAGTTCAACTGTTTCTTTGACCAAGGCTTATGAAGGGATAGTATGGTCATCACTACCCCAGCTGCGTGCCTGTAAACCCAACGCAAGACTCTTGGGTGTATTAATAGAGAGACTACTGCTTTAACAAGCTATCCCATAAATTTACAAGATAAATTTTTTGAGGCTAAACATACAAAGCAAACAAATATACAATCCCCAAGTGGAAAATATTATTTTGCCTAAAAATATAGGTTCATAAAGTTATAATTCACCTCTTCATATTCTTTCATGGCTTCTTCAATCCTTATTCTAGCCCTCTCCTGAATTCTTGATCTGAAAGCTTCAAGCTCATCATTAAAAGCATCAGTGTACTGTTTTTCTCCAAGTTTAATTCTGAAAACAAAATAAACAAGTTATAATAATAACTTTACACTTAAAAATAATGCAGAAGTAAAAAAAAAAGATTCACTTAAATTCCAATACTCAAAACTGATCTGTTTTATCAGATGCTGGCATAAATAAATGACAGCAATGTAAATTTTGTTTTTAATTTAAAAGATTGAATGATAATTCATATCAAGAAATGCTGTAGAGGAAAAAGCTCCAGCATAAAGAACCAACTTATCAATCTTAATGTGAGGTGACATGACTTTTCACAGGCCTAGTAAATTACATTAACACAACAAATAAAAAGGAATGTCCAAACCAAAAATAAGTAACCTTACCTGGAGAAGAAAGCCCCGACGCAACTGCGAGGATCAGTCTTTAGACTTTTGGCCAGTTCCAAAATAAATTGCATGACAATGCATTGATGACTGACATGTTTCATGAGATCATGTTTCTAAAAAAATTAAAACATAAATAAAGAAAAAGCATTAAAAAATACTTCTAATTCAAACTATCATGGTTAAGAAGCTTACAGACAATAGTTATATTCAATATTCAACCAAAAGTATAACTCCTCTGACCATGAGTTAAAAGCCTTTACTTAAGTAAAATACTTGTGTAAACTAACCTCTTCCACCTCTAGATCAATACACCAGATAACAAGATAGTTGGCAGTCTCCTCACACACAAGGTAGTTGTGTTCTGTTAGATACTGCTTGCTGTCATCCCACTTCTGAAGCATGCCATACTTGCGGATTTCACTCTTATATTTTTTAGTAAATTCTTGCTGTGGGTACAAGTTTATAATTTTAAAAAATATATTAAAAAGTGACAGACAGTTAAAAATAATAATAGAAAAATAAAACATTAACTAAACTAAGTTACATAGGAGACCGAAGGGAATTCATGTGGTATTACAGTTTGCAGACTAGACCTTTGCCAGTTTAATACAGAATAGATTAATTATTCAATGTAATTAAGCAGTACAAGGCATCATTTGTAACATATAAAACCTGATTTTGCTTCCACTCTGAAGTCCTGAAGGGCACTTAACAAACCTATTATAGAACCTGGCCTACTCCACTGTCAAAATGACTACCAGGTAAGTAAAGGTACTTCAGTGATGAACATTAGTCATGCTCAATGACTTTTTAAAAATCAGTAATCTTACAACACGTTAAAAATAGTAACTAGAATATCGACTAACCTGCTTGCTAATTTTTTCTTCTTCTGAAAGTTCTTTCGGTGGTGGTGCTGCTTTATTTATCAGCTTTAAAAAAAACAACAACAGGGCATTAACATACTAAAAGGAACTTCTTGAATAGAATATAAATAATTCCTTAAAACAATGTTTCTATTTGTATCTCAGTAATGACCAGGCAACTAGAGTAAACAATGCAAACTTACTGTTTTAGATTTTGCTTCTTTACAAATGGTGTCAATATTCAAAGGTGTCAACTGGGGAGAAACAGTGCTCAGTAGTGACTTAAATAATATCAATACAAACAACTAAAATCTAATTAGTATTGATAAAAAAGTAGCCTTAAATACAACAACTAATACAAATGGAATAATTTTGAAACATAAATAAATGATTTTACTTTTTCTTCTTTTTTGAGTTCCTCTTCCTTCTTCCTATATTCTTCTTCTTGTTTCTCTAGTTCTGAAAGTTCAATCTTGAGCTTTTGAAATTCAGTTGATGCAGACTGCAAGAAAAAAAATTAATAAGTTTTTACCAAAAAACAAAAAATATTTGATTATCAGAGATGACAATAAAAGTTTTAACTTTTTTATTTATCTACAAAACAAATAAGTTTAGAACCCATTGAGCCTTAACTATTTTTATTAAGGTACAACAAACACTCAGGTATTTTGAAGGGAAAATACTAAAAAAAAAAAAAAAAAAAAAAAACTGCAAAGGCCACCCAACAATACACAGACTTAATAGCCTTCTATACTATATGCATTATGTACATGCTTTGTGTCTGGATGTACTGTCAAACCACAAAAGACTATCTTGCAATCAACTTGCTTTAACTACATATTATAATTTGCTGTGGTATACAGGAACAACTTAATTTAGATTAATTTATACATTAAATACAAGATTACAAACCTCCTCAGCCTCTTTTACTTTCCTTTTCATCTCTGCTATTCTTTGTTGATAACTAATCAATGAAGAAAAAGAAACAAACATTATATGCCAAGACAATGAATCAATACAATAAACAGCAGCAATACTAAAAATGAGTAATCTATTTCAGTTAAAAATTACATGCTTTTTAGAGTGAGTTTCCCCATTCTAAAAAAAAGTAGGCCCTAATGTTTCACAACTATACAAGTAAATGAGAACATTTTGTTTTATGTCTAATTTACATGATTTTTTTTAAAATGATCTATTTGCACTGTCAGTCAATTGACAATTAGCAGAGTCACTAAAGTACTCTAATGCACTGCCCTTCATGATGTGACAATTTTGTTGGGGCAGCCATTAAAAAAAATTACCTTTGTTTATCTTGCTCAAACTTCTCTTTCTTCTTTTTTTGCTCCTCCATTCTTTCAACTCTTGCTTGATGACGCCATCTGAATAAACTGGGTGTGTCGATATTTGGATGGGTATCATCTTCATCATCAGAGATCTAAATGTTCAAGATTAAGCAAACAATTGCATATGGTCTCTTTATTTAAGAATAAATTAACTAATTGCCTATTCTTTAAGTATACTTAAGAAAGATGTAGTAATAAAGAATATCTATTAAGCGATGCCAGTTGTATATCTCAATCTATAATTTGATTAGTCCAGTAAGTACTGGTGGGTTGAGTATTTTGTAATTTTGTTAGCCCAGTAAGTGTGTTAGATATTGTGTTTACAATATTAATATGATAGCAATTATATTTACTATTTTAATATTTACTACTCACTATTTTGCAGCAAGCATTTTACCCCCACATCAGACACACATTGCTGCAAAATTGTTTTAGCGTTTTTCCCTAATGTGTTGAAATTTTAACTTTCTGAGCCCAACTCCAACATAAAAAAGTGCCCCCCCCCCTTCCCCGCATTGCCAATTATTTTAAAGTATTTCTTAGTTATAGCCTAATGTAATTAAATTAATTATTGCTGCTTTCTACTAGATCACTAGATCTATATTTAAAAATCATTTTTACTAGGTCTAGATCGAGACTAAATTGATTGTAGCATTGATTACTATTTACTAGATCTAGATCTAGATCTATGTAGATTTAGATCTCTATTATTTACTTGCTGTAAGAAAAAATATTACTTCACTGACAGTGACAAGCAAGCAGTCCAATGAATTTAAAATAAAATTTTAGGCCTTCTCATTTGACTGTCATTTAAAAATTTAACAACTAACAACATTTTATGATTTAGAATCTAATATAGATTATATAATAATGATAAACACATATTACCTCAATATGATCCCATTTGCTATAATTTATGGTAGACATTTTTAGGTTCAGATTTGATAAATCTCTTCTCTCAACCTGACTACTTTGTAACCTTTTTCTTTTTTAATTCTAAGAATCGAAAGCTCTGGATCTCCTCTGTTTATAGCGGATGTAGCAGTAGATCTAATAAAAAATAGCCTAATTTTAAACGAAACAAATGAATTATAAATAATTGTTTTAAATGTGTTCAGTTTAAAATTTATATAAAAATGATATGGCTCATTAATTAATATATATCATTGTTACTAAGCGTAAGTATCTGGCCTAATATTAAAACATTATAATTTGATATGCGATTCTCTTTTTATATGTAGGCCTAGGGCATAGATATATTTTGGTCTTTGGAAGCGTCTAAGTTTTAGATTATTAGGGGTGTCAGATTAAGTATAGATGACTTTACCCTAAACTATTACAGCAAAACAGAAATATTCTAAGATATTTTTTGACATACATAATTATAAGATATGTAACAATATAAATTCGTTACATTGTTTTTGATTCAATTATTTTTAGAGGATTATGAAAACCGGTGTACGTGTCAAAATGACACAAAGGTGTACTAGTGTGGAAACGAGGTCAGTAGCGTCCCTTATTTGCGGTTGTCAATGAGAGAAGACTGGTCGTATCTTAAAACTTTTTTGACGTTCGTATTAGATAGATCTACAAACAGTTTTACCTAGGCCTTGTTATTAAAACATATTTTTGGTGAGTGGTTTTGTGATTTTGATTGGACTTCATTTATTAATTGATACATGTTTTATTTTGCCATCTAAACTAAATATACACTAGAGTATTATGCTGCCTATGTCAACTCCACTTGTAGCCGGCAAACCGGTGCGACAGTGACTCTATTTCTAAACTAAAGACTACAGTTACACGGAAGGGCTTGAAACATTTTTTTTCAATGTTAAAGCAAGTTAAATCTCTAAATAACTGGTTTAACTCTAATATTTAAATAAAGTAGATCTATAATTCTTTACGGCTAGATCTACTCAGAAATAAAAAAAAGGACGTTTTTCTTCAATAATGTCATTGTCAATATCTTTTTTTCTGGTAATCTATCGTTTTGGGTTCGTAAAATCACCCGCGGCTATTAATGTACGAAAACGTTACCTCATTGTCAAGGCTTTAATAGAAGTATATTGTCATATGTTTGTGTCAAATATTATAGATAAATGAATAATAAACCTAAATCAATTGCTAAATATATCGATATAGGCCAGAAATTAACTTTAAACAGCAGTGTCTGAGAGCAAGAAATGCTATATTAATTATTATACTAGGCCATAACAAATATAAATTGTCTTTTTGTGATGACTGGGAGGGGGAGGAGGTAAAGATCATTTTAAAAAATTGGACATGATTTATGAATGACCCCTAATCTAGAATCTACTAGTTGCCACACTCAAATAAATAAATGACTCCATAGTTTGATAGATGGTTGGACAATTACACCTTTGAAATCAAGGCCTGGCAGTATATTGAGAACAGCCAGATGCTGCCCATATATCATGCATAGTTCCCAGATAAAATAAAATGCAAAACGGGGAAAAAGGCGCAAACAGATATTTGCGTTTCTGGTTGTGCTATTATCCATTGCGTTTATTTGTTGCACATCTTTCTGGTCACAATCATGTACCATGTCTGCACTAACTTGTGTAACGAAGGGAGAGCACAACTCCTGTTTGATTGTGGAAATTTCTCTGGTTTACATTTTTAAATGTAAGGGGTATGTGCATTTGGGCGCCCTGAGTTCCCCTGCTACTTTTCTCCCTGTGGTCTGCAGATTTGGGCATCCTACACAAGGGGTTAGGAGTTCTATGTGAATTTATTGGCAAACTGCACCCCAGCTTTCATGTTACCAGGATGGCTTGGGCTCTTCCACAAGGGTGGTCTAGGGTAATGTTATATATTATGTTCTAGGGGTAAAAAAAATGTTACGCATAATATATGCATTATCCCAAACATTACCCCCCAACCTAGCCCTAAACTTTGTGGGTTGGATAGCCCATTTATTATACACCAACTGCTGCATAAGATTAACATTGCAACATTCTGCCTTTTATTCCTAGCTTTCACGGTTGAGCAGTTTAACATGTGTTCAATTTTTAAAAAATCGTCCAATAAGTTATAAACCAAGACATGAGATCTATGGAAATTCTTTGATGTGCTCTATGTTAAAATTATAATCCTTGTTAAAACCTATTATTGTTCACTCCATTGGCATCGTAATTTGTAACTTGTATAACCATCCTGTTGACCTAAATTTACTTAGTTTGCCTAAGTTTCTTATCTACCTAGTGAAATTATTCCTTATTGTTACATTTTCCCCTAAGTGTTTACTAAAGACTAAAGATAAGATAAATTGTTATACTGTAATGGGATTACAGTTGGCAAATAATACTGATACTATGTTTTTAAATAGATTTAGCATTTCTTAGCTTTCTATCATTAACATTTAAGCAATGGTTAAATTGAGAAAGTTATTGTGATTTTTATAGATCTGTGTTTTTTTAAACAATTATAAAACTGTGTGTATATCAAGGCATTCTTTTATCATAACTTTTTAGCTCTTATGTTGTGTTCTTATCCATCATCATCTTGTTTTCCTGTATATGCCCAAAACACTTGGGGGAGATGAAGTAGAGTTTATTTGTTTTTAAAAACTTTGGCATACATATAACATAGTGATAGTGTGGTCAGCACTATGCCGAGCCACCTATCTTTCCCTAACATGAGCCAAGTACCTATAAGAGCTGGATGGATGTTCTATAGATTTAGCCTAGGATTCAAGCTCAAGGCTTTTGGCTTAGCAGTGGTAACCAGTACCATCTGACCACGTCATGTTTTTACATATGCTATCACACACAAATTAGCAACGTAATTTTAAGATGATTAATGAAATAAAACTTTTATCTTGCTGTAATAAACAATATTACCATACTTATGTCAAATAGTTTAAAATTAAGCATCTCATTGGTTTCAAAAGTTTTAAAATACTACAATTTCTAGGAAGTTAACTTTAATTAACATTAAGTTTTTGTAATTTCAGATTTTAAAAAAATGGAAGATCAAAAGGTTATTTTGGTTACTGGTGGAACTGGGTTAGTTGGTAGAGGTATTAGAGCAGCTATGGAGAGAGAAGGAAAGAGGAGTGATGAAGAATGGCACTTTGTTTCTTCAAAAGATGCAGACCTTACGTATGTAACAGTTCATTACCAGAACATTTGATAACACTTAATATTTATATAGTATTAATGGAACATTGCTACATAATAGAATTGGTGTATTGAGGTTTTCTTAGTTTACTTCATGCTTAGTTGCAGACAATGGGATGGTATGGTATACAAAGCTTTACTATATTTGGGAGGAATTTTAAATTTAATAACAAGAAGATACACCATGCTTTTCCCCTGTGGTGTAGTTTACCATTAACTATAACCTCAACATAACTGTATTTCTGGAGCTTAATTACATGTACATATATTTTAAAAATGTGTATTTAAACTAAGTAGATAGTGAGTTTTAAAAAAGGTTTTTAGAATTTAAGCTTAAGGGACTGATCAATTTTGAGACAGCTGTTGCAAATTCATATTTATCAAATAAAATGCCTATGAAGTAAAATAATCAATTGTGTGATTGGGCATTTATAGTCTTCACTTTGGTTGTTGGTATATACACACTATTGAATTTTTTTAAATTGAAGATGGCTTATTGCATCAGTTGGATGATATTGATTATCCAAAAAGTGCTAGTTAAGTAAAACTGAGATTGCCAATGTCTTGCTTAGGGTTATAAGCTGACATGAATTATTCACAAAGAACATCTTCTGTTTATTATTCAAAGAATTTGATCTTGTCTTTTTTATTAATTTTGTTTGGTCTTTGATCTTCCAGAGACAGAGCTGCTACAGAAGCCTTGTTTGATAAGATTAAACCAACTCATGTGATACACCTTGCTGCAATGGTTGGGGGGCTCTTTAGAAATCTGAAATATAACCTAGATTTTTTTGTAAGTTCCAATAAAAAATATGAGTCTTTTTTTTTATCGGTTAAATAGACTAATTATTCTATAATAAATTTAATATGAAATTGAATTAGTATGATTTTTAAAAAAAATAGTTAAGAATAGTCTGAAATATCTTAGATGTAATTTATTTTATACATTTGAACATATTACTTTTTCAGAGAATAAATTCCCAAATCAATGACAATGTTCTAAGCATTAGTCACCAAAAGGGTGTTAAGAAAGTTGTGTCTTGTCTGTCAACCTGTATTTTCCCAGACAAAACAACTTACCCAATTGATGAAACTATGGTAAGTTTAAACCTGATTGAAAGAGAAGTTATACATTTTAATTATAAGTTATGGCCCTAATTTCAGAGCCTATCTACACAGTAATAATGGACAAATATCAAACACCTTTTTTAGCTTGAATTTATATTTACAGGTACACAATGGTCCCCCACATGACAGTAATTTTGGATATTCTTTTGCTAAACGTATGATTGATGTACAAAACAAGTAAGCGCCAGTGTTTTTTTTAAACATAGTCTGTTTTACAAAAATACTAACATAAAATTGTAATGAACACTATCACTTGTGATTTATGCTGCAGTCATCACCAAATAACTTTTGTAAAATTTTTTATTTAGGGGCTATCACATGCAGCATGGTTGTAACTTCACTTCAGTCATCCCCACCAATGTTTTTGGAGCGTATGACAACTTCAACCTTGAAGATGGGCATGTCTTGCCTGGTCTAATACGCAAAGTTCATGAAGCTAAAAGTGAGAGGCATTTTTTTTTCAGTTAAGCCACATTATTTGACCATTTGATAATAACTTTTGTAAATTTGTCTTAAAATGTTTTTCCCCATCAGGCAACAACACACCTTTTGTTATTTGGGGCACTGGGTCACCTCGACGACAATTTATTTATTCCCTTGATCTTGGACGTCTATTTCTGTGGGTCCTTAGAGAATATAAGGAAGTAGCTCCAATTATACTTTCAGGTAAATGGCCATTTTGTTTACCTCACTTTGTTTTTAATGTTACTTAAAGTTTTTGCTGTAAAATTTTGATACTCAAGTTAATTAAGACAGAATAACAATCTCATGCAAATTCTTTAATTTAGTTGGAGAGGAAGATGAAATATCCATTAAAGAAGCAGCAGACTTGGTTGTTGAAGCTATGGGCTTCACAGGAGAGGTTATTGTATCCTTTTCAATAATGATATAAACATGTTTAAATAGGAATACATTGGGTTTGAATTCTGGCTTTGTATTACACCAGGCATAAGTTAAGTATGTTACTGAAAATGTTGAATAGAACCAATCCAATAAGATTTTTCTGTGCAGTAGTATATCATAGTGAACCTTTAAAGCAAATTTGATTTTGTTTAGTATCTACCTTTATAGAAAAGTCTATGCACTACAGTTCGCGGAAAAAAAAATCTGAATTCCCTTAACACAATCTTTAGCTGGATACAACCAAATCAGATGGGCAATTTAAAAAAACGGCTAGCAATGCCAAGCTAAGAAAATATTTGCCTGATTTTAAATTTACTCCAATCAAACAAGGTATTGTAAAGTTATTACAGATGCAGTTGTTTCTTAATGTTTGATATATTTTAACTAGTTATCAGAGATTTTGTTCATTTAAGTATCTCATGTTAACCATTATTTCTTGCAGCAATCAAGGAAACATGTGACTGGTACATGGCTAATGTTGGTACAGCTCGCCACTAAATTTTACAGACTGTTTGCAGTGGTTGATTAATTCCAACTTGAATTACAGTTTCATTCTTTCAATGATAGCTGTTTTATCAATAACTGGCTACACTACATCAGTCTAAAATGTTAACCCTTATTGGCATAGGAATTAAAGATGGGTATATAGTATATTAAAAATAAAATGTGATTATTGCTAAACCTGTTTGTACTAATGCCACTTATGAAATAATTTAAGCAATGCTGATGTACCCTAGAAGAAAAAGAAACCCAACTTTAGTATGTGATAATTTATTCACATGTATAATTTGCAACTTTTTTTCCTGTTTTCTCCAAGACTTACATAAAAAAGTATTATAAAACTCATCTTTTTCTCTGCCAGTAAAGGGTTTATAGACATTCATTGAAAATAGAAACTGCCTTTTTTGTTTTAAGCTTGCTATATTTTTTTAAACGCCTTTAATAGTTACTGTCTGTCTGCATTGTTAAAATTATATAATTAGTAGATATAAAAATGTATATTTATAAGGATTATTAATTTTTAAGTAAAGTTATGATTTTGTTGTTTAAAAAATAAACGTTAATCCTTTTATAAATATAGATTAAATATCTATTCTGCAGTTTGTCTAAAAAATGCTTAGCTTGAAGATATTATGTTTGAAGGATTTTTATATTATTTTCTCATTTAATTTATATTTCCATATTATTTTGTGTTGATAATATGTATTACAAACTACACCATATATTTTCTGGTATCCATTAATTTCATTGTTTCATGCAATCATTACAGTAATTTTTTTCATAGTGACTAATCCACATTAATGTGCTTTGCTCAAAAAAGTATACCCAATATTGGGCTTATTATTTGTGATACATGGAAGCAAATTTTTTTTTTTTTTGTTATGGTTATTCAGATGTTTTGTAAAAGTTGTTCATAGGATATGCAATAGTTTGTTTTGATGCAGTTCCAAGTATTTGGCATTTCATAACTTCAAAAAAAAATCTGCAAATTGTTCAGTTCTATTTTGCAGTTGGTGTATTTGTTATTGGGATGTACATACTTTTGATGTGATCTTATGATGGGTTATATATTTTTATACAATTATTTGGGTAAATAAACTAGTGACAATATAAATGTGTACTTGTTCAACACTTAATTGAAAGTTTGTATAATTCTCACACCTTCCATTCCAACTTGTATGTTATTTGTGAGCCATATTACCACCAAAGTTAGCGATCATTAAGTCTTTCAGACAAGTTAATTAATATTCCCCCATATGACCTTCCATATAGTAATAATTATAATGTTAATGAACCAATTTTTTTATGTCAAGTTAAGCTGCTGTTGCAAAAAAAAAAAAATTATGTAACTTTTGATGTTCCCATTAATATTCTTGTTACACTGACAGTAATAAATTGCCAACAGTAACATTATGGACACAAATCTATTTAATTTCGGGTACAGAATAAGTTGTAATTTCTGAAATAAACTTAAGGCCTATGAATCCATTAAACAAAACATTAACATAGATTACTTTTTTCTTGACTATTTCTTTAATGTATACATTTATAAGTAATATTTGAACGATGGCTAAAATAAATACTGTCTTATTTCTCTGCTAATAGATCTCTGGATACCAGTAATCTCATTATCTCATTGGTTCCTGAAACAAAAAGAAATTCCATTTTAAAAAATGTCCAACATATTTGTAGATAAAGATAGATCTATCTACGGAATTATTCCTTTAGAGATATAGTAATAAACCCTACCCCTTTCCATGTATATCATTATCAGTTGTAGTTCTTCATTTCTTCATTAACAACACTACTATTAATAACGTGGGTAATGTGACATTCTTACCTTCTAATATACAATGAACTCTGGTATCTCGCATATATTGCTGTACAGGGTAGTCCTTCAAATAACCATAGCCACCAAAAATTTGCATTGCATCATTACAAATCTGAAATTAGAAGTATTTTGACTGGTAAATTTGCAACTACAGATGCTACATTTAGTTTTAATGACAGAAAGCATACAAGTTGACCCAACCAATGGAAATCAACCACATGGAAGTTAAAAATCCTTGTTTCCTAAAATGCATTAGTCTTGGTTGCAACCATAATTTGTTTTTTGTGAGCTTTAGAAGACCAATCAAAGTTTGCAATAAATGTTTATTTTTTCAAAGATAAATCACAAGTAAAATATTACTTGGTGTGTCAGTTTATAGGAATTTTGATATCTGTTTTAAAATTTGTAAAGAAGCAGAAAGTTAACAAATAGGTCAATGCATTTTTAAAAACTTAAACATACCTTGAAACATTCTTCTGTAGCAAAAAGCTTTGCCATGGAGCACAGTGCTACTGCACTGACATCTTTATTATCTAAAGCTTTAGCAGCGTTTCTAACTATCAACCGTGACGCCACTAGCTGCGTGGCCATTTCGGCTAGACGAAATTGCAAATACTGCAAAAATAAATGATTGGGAAAATTTTACCATCTTAAATTTTGAGAACTGTGTGCTGGTCGATTGTGTTATTAAAACAAATGACTCGCTTCACCAACTATAATCACATGAAAGTAAGTTAAACGCTAACCTGAAAACTGTCCAAAGTCTTGCCAAATTGTTTTCTCACTTTCATATGGTCACGGGCCTTTGATAAAGCTGAGTGGGCTGCACCTAGAGAACTTGATGCTAAAGGTAAACATTTTAATTAATCAGCTACATAAAAACAACTTGCTGATAAAATAATGAATTCAATAATTAAACTTGATAAAAAAAACTTTGATGCTAAAGGTAAACATTTTAATTAATTAGCTACATAAAACAAATTGCTGATAAAATGAATTCAATAATTAAGCTTAGAAATAACTTTAACCCTTTGATCCCTGGCCTAATTTCTCCCATTTCCTGAGCTCCCAGGCCCAAACCAAATTTCACTTATCTGCTTCTAACTTTGCACTGATAAAATAATTATATACCGATGATTTTTTTATATACTACAAAAAATATTGACAAAACTAGAGTAACTTACCTATTTACTGTTATTATAATATTATTGACAATGTATTTTACGAAATGCAAACACTTTCACCTTTCCCCACAATCTATTTTTAGAATCATAATCCTGCACTAAAAAGACATGTGCATCGTTTTATTCAGTCCGCCGCTAATTATATTTAATAAGACGGTCTATCAGCCCCTACGACTACGATGCTAGATAAGCAGGCCGAAAAACTTGCTTTTCGGACATATATGCTTAATTTTGAAGCCGGTTTTCTGGCTTGCCTGGCTCAAAGGGCTAATGCTCAAGATACTGACTTACTTGAGTGCAAAAGAATGATAGAATTTGATACTTAATGAGAAATTGTTGTGTATTGGAAGACAGATTTAAGAACAAATTTAATTACGCCTATCTACTAAGGAAGGTAGTTGTCACCTCACCTACATTTAGCCTTCCTCCATTAAGACCTTTCATAGCAATGTTAAATCCTTGGCCTTCAGCTCCCACCAAATTGCTCTGAGGGACTCGGCAGTCATCAAAAGAGACGATACTAGCAGGGTGCGAGTTCCACCCAACCTTTAAATTTTTAAGAAGATAGGATAACATTTTAAAACATGATCATCCGGTATACTGTTATTATAGTGCAATAGCCTGCTCTAGCTATCAATGGGAGGTTGTGGTTTAGCGCATAATTCATAACCTAAATTATTGCTGACAAGTTAAGGTAAATAATGGCATTAATGGTGGCTGGGCAAAGTCTGAGATACAACCATTCCATAAGCTGATTTGAAAGAAACAAACTCTACTTCATCTACCATAATGATCATAAGGTACATTCTGTTCAATTGAGGGACTGTTTATTATTTATGTTGTGTAACGTGAGGTTGTAAAAATCAATGCTATTTGTGTGTTTAAAGTGGATCACCAAAAATGATGTTAAAAAACAACCTTAGGTTTCTTGAAAGAACCTTGTTTTCAATGGGACTTTATTGATACATTAAAAATATAAAGAGAAACCATTCGTGACATCTTCATGGGAGGCAGATGCTTAGAGGATAAATCAGCAAAATAAGAGCCATGTTAAATTTTTTTAATAAATTGTTAATTTTAGGTAATATTTACTTTTTTTTCTTTCTTGCCAAATGAAAGTCCTTGTGTACCATTCTCTACAAGAATACAAGACACACCTTTGGCACCAAGCTCCCCAGTTCGACACATCACAAGATATATATTGGATCTACCACTACCACTAATAAATGCCTGCAAAAAATATCATTTAATGAAATGTTAACTTCATTTTTCCAATTCTGTCTAATGTTCAGAAGCAGGAAATGGGCTTGTAAATTGTGAGTAGCTGATAAGAAATTATAAAGTTGTACAATAAATAAATGAAATGTCTCACAATTAATTGGTTGTCAAAGAAGCAATAGTTTACCTTAGCACCATTTATAATATAATCAGAGCCAACTTTCTTGGCGGAGGTTGTCAAAGAAGCTGCATCACTTCCAGCACCTGTGTGACATTTCTTGTATTAGGCAGAAATAGTGCAAAGTAATTATACATTGTTTACAACTTAAAATGTATTTAAGCTTGTTTATGAACAGTAATCTCTTAAATTTACTTGGCAGAGTTCAGGCATTTAGATTTCCATTCTGGAAAAACATACCCGTATTTTTATTTATAAAGTTATATGTGATAAACTTAGTAAAATGATTTTAATAAAATAGCACAGAAACTTGAAAGCTTCATTTAAGTACATTTGTGACGCTCCACAACAGTATGAGTCACTAAGCACCGTGGCTAATTTTTGTTTACCTGGTTCAGTAAGACAGTAAGAAGCAAAATGTTCCATTGTGGCTAGTGAAGGTATCCACTTTTTACGCAGTTCCTCATTTGCAAATTCATCTATCATCCAGGCACACATACTGTGATAAGAAATTAATTGGAACATTGACAACTGTGAACAAATCTTTCGGAAATTATCTAAATTTAAATTACTATGTGTTAGTACAAATTGATTTTTTATATGTGATAGTTTTGATAAAGTTGTTTCTCAGATAAAATTTTAAAATTATAAGGGTGTTTACCCATCTTACTTGTGTATGCTAATATAAGCTGTAGTGCTGCAGCATCCAGTGGCCAGAGCCTCAAATATAACAGAGGCATCAAGGCGAGTCAGCCCTGTACCTCCATACTTTTCATCACAATAAACAGCGCCAAACCCAAGTGTTGCAGCCTTACGCATTGTATCAACTGGGAAAATTTCCTGAAAATAGTAGATTTTTTTTACTATAAAATAAATTTCCTATCAGCTTAAAAAATTAATTTTAAGTGCTGGAGACAAATGCAAACTATATTTAAATTTTGAAGAGACAGTTTGAATTTTATATATATTAAGTTTCAAATGTGAAGATGCTGGCTATGTGCTGTCATTTTTTAAATTATAAAAGGCATTGCATTTGTGTTTGATTTATTAAAAAACTAAATTGTGTATATAGGCTAACATAAACAAGCCATTTTATAATCATGTTTTAAATGCATAAAGGCTATCTTGATTTCAAAGTTTACAAACCTCTTCATCCCATTTTTGCATGTTGGGGGCAAGCTCATTTTTAGCAAAGTCCAATGCAACCTGTTGTATTTGTTTCTGTTCCTCTTCCAACCCATGAGAAACTTAAAATTTTGTGAAAATATGATAATTAATATGCTATTAATAAAAACATACTAAATATGTAAGTCTAAATTTTTTTAAAAATTTCATTAAATGCAATAGAGACACTCATTTGTGCAACAATATCCCACCTAAAATGTAACTAAAAAAACTATTGGAAAATAGAAATTTAAAAATGCAGTCAATAAGATTTAGTTAATTATCTAGAAAAAAAAACGCTATCAAAAGTAATGATCATGGTAGGTTCCAGGAGTCCCCATAATCATTAAAATTATTTATTTTCAGTTTTTATAATAAATAAGAATTGAAATTTAATAGCTAATAGCAAAATGTACATACACACACAAGCCTCTCACATCCCCCTCCTCCGTCCCCCCAACAAAAGACTATACTTGAATACTTGCCAATTTTTAACACTTACTATCAACACAGCTGCCTGTTAAAAGAAGTCGTTTTTGGCAGAGTGGAATTTTTTGCAAGTTGTTTATTAATCTCAAAACTACATTGGCTTTTTTAAAAAACATTTTCATTGGCTTTCATTTACTGTGCAGATAATCTGGAATAAATTATTAATTATTAAATGTTAAACTGTAACAATAAAACTATATGTGTGGTGGGCCCTATAATTGTATTGATTTAATTCCTTTTTTATTACTGATAACCCAAAGTTCCCGGGTCAGCCTGGTTGGATGGTAAAGCTTACGACTTCTAACATGAAAGTCTTGAGTTCGAATCCCAGGTTTGAGTATGTAGAACCTCTCTGAGTCCACCGAGCTTTGATGAGAAACTAAGGCGGTTTGGCATTGTGCTGACCACACTATCCCTTTATATGCCAAGGTAATTGAAACAAATGAACTCCACTCACCTGCCCTATGTGTCTTAAGCACGGACAGAAATAGGGTAATGAGATGATGAGGAATCTAAAAATCTAAACCCAATTAAAGTCTGGAAATGCAAGGGCCTATCACAAGCCTAACGAAGTTCTAAGTTATTACTAGGCGTGCCGGCCCTGCAATGATATTTGAGGAAAGTGCTGTTTGTAAACATCATAAGCATCATATACCCTGCACATGTGCTCATTAAGCATCATATACCCTGCACTGTCTGGTGTTTGGGAATTTATAAAGCTTTCAATTAAGACATTCTTAATGTAAAATAAACCGGGAGTGATCTCCCCTAAACTTTCTCGAATATTCTTATATAAAATAACAGGGGATGGGAACTCAGGCTATAGACATGATTTTTAATCCATTTTAAATACTTAAACTTTTATAAATAGAATAAAATCTCGCAGACAAATTAATTGCACACCAAGTGAACGCCAAATAAAAAAGCGCATAATAGTGCGCAATATTATTAGTACTTTTAAAATTTACATTAGTTTTTTGAGAAATCGGAAGTAGCGTAAATTACTACTTCCAGTCAACGGAAATTACTCAAAATTTAACAAAAGGTGGAGAATTAGATCTTTTACTTACATGTCAAATTTCATTTATCTATCTGAAATAGTACTCAAGTTATAGGCTTTTGAAAAATTCAAAGTAGGAAAAGTACCACTTCCGGTTATCGGAAATCGCTCAAAAGTTGATACGGATCTACGATTTTGATAAAATACTTATATATGAAATTTCATCAACCTAGCTGTAACGGTACTCAAGTTATCGTGTTTAGACACGGACAGACAGACAGACACACAGACAGACACACAGACATACGGACAAGATTGCAAAATTATGTTTTTCCGTATCAGTGAGGTGTAAAACGTCGAGATTTGTAAAAATCTCGATTTTTTTTTTTTGCACGATTACAAGACTTTCTCTATACTTCGTATATACGAGAAAGTAAAAAGATGTTTGTTTGATCATAATAGTGGGGATTCAATTAACTTACATGATATGAATGTAGGCTGACTGCTTTAATGTATACCTTTCTGAACAAAATTAGTAATGTGCTTAAATTACCACTATAAAAAAGAAAACTATAAGAGCAACATATTTTTTTCAGAAAGTGGACTTGGTAGGTTTTGCAAGTGGCCTCTTCAAATATCAGTGATAACAGATGGTTTAATTTTTACACCTATTTGAAAATTGTGTAGTATAAATTCAAAGGATCTTTTGTTTTATCCACATGTTATTATCGTTTATTTTTTATGTAATCAAAGAAATGGGGAAATAAAAAGTTGAAATTCCTGATACAGTTATATCCCTTTAAATAGACTTAATTGAGAGGTAAAACTTAATAATTTGTATTGATTTTCACTCCTATTTGAAAACACGCTTAGTATAAATTTTAAATGAATTTTTCTTTTATCTAAAGGTTTTCGATTATTTTTGTGTGTAGTCAAAGAACGGGGGAAATTAAAAGATTAAATTCCTGACGCTTTTACATCCCTTTAATATTTAAAATTGAGGAGTAAAGGCATTCAATTATTAACCCATTGATAAGACATTTCTGAAAAACTGGTATTTTCCCACGTTTTCTTTAACTTGCTTTCTCTGTTTGTTTATTTGTTTGTCTTTCCAATCAAATCTTGCGATCGAAATTTCTGGCACTTCCCAGTTAGCTAGCGCGCTGAAATTTTCAGGGAAGCTTTCTTTTGGATGACCATAGAATATGCAATTGTTATTATTACTAAATTGATCAATGGAAACATTTTATTGAGCATTTTAGACCGCTTTATAATCTATATATATAATTCTCCTCTGCGAGCCATTAGAAAAAAACCAGCGACGCGTAGCTAGCCTCTCTCTTGCCGCGCGCAGTGAAGCGAACGATCCCACTTCGCGACAGGCTTAGGGGCAGATAATTTAGTTTTAACCGACTTTAAAGTTACAGGAGATAACTATTACCACTGGTGGCCAGTTTGGGGGAGACGATATGGTCGAGTGGTTGGGCACACGATTGCTATCCCACTCGACACGGGTTCAAATCTATGTGTTCTAGTCAGTAACGTATTCACACAACGTGTTTTTTACGAGTTGTCTTTTTACGAGTTGTCTTCGCTTACCCAAAAAAAAGTGAAAAGATAAAATCGATAGCAAGATTTTAATGCAAACAAACAGACAAAGGCTAAAAAGTAGAAAATAATAATCATTAAAAAAGTTTTAAAAAACCCACGTTTTCTGATTGAACTAAAAAGCAGAAAATAAATGCTATACATCACAATAATGCAAGCGATCACTCTACTATAAGCGATCAAAAACGTGGGGCGCCGAAGTAAAAGTTATATTACTATTGATTAGATAATACTATTGACTTTTATTAGGGAGCTTGTAGAGAGTCAACAGTATTAGAAACTTTAAGAAAATCACGGCGCCCCACGTTTTTGATCGCTTATAGTAGAGTGATCGCTTGCATTATTGTGATGTATAGCATTTATTTTCTACTTTTTAGTTCAATCAGAAAACGTGGGTTTTTTAAAACTTTTTTAATGATTATTATTTCCAGGTGCTTACGTCACCAGAACTATCTCCTTACCAAATAATAACTTTATGTTGCATCTGAAAGTGGTCGATCTAATTCAAGCGCTTTTAAAATGTATACTTTATATAAGGCCGCGGTCACTCTAGGTCAGTTCTCGGTCACTTAAAACTCAATTATTGAAATTACTCTAATTTTCCCAGTAAAAAGAGAGTGAACAGCAAACTTCGACAATCTAATAGATGTAAGAAAGAAACAAACCAAACATCACCCACTTTGCTTTTATAGATATAGATTAGCATTAAATATTTTTATTATGTGGGGACTGTCCATATATAGAATAATTAGAATAGATCTATAGCAGATTTTTACTTATCTCCCCTCCTGCTATCACATACCACTAAAAGCCAGACCCCCCCATCCCCTCACCCCAATGTCAAAACTTGAGTACTGTCAGTGAGTTACAGTAGGCCTATATTAGTACAGTTTCAGTTGTGTAAGTAGTAGATATAGATCTAAGTAAAAGTTAAACTACTGTTAAAGAGACTAACAACTAAAGTTAAAGTAAAGACTAAAGTTACAGTAGTAGATCTAGATCTAGATCTAGTACTAGTCAGTGGAGTAGGTTACACATTACACATTGGTTGCCTGCCACAGTTCATATTGAACTACGTAGCCGAGCCCTTGATTCGTTCTGCTGGAGTTTTTTTTTAAAGGGATGGCTCAAAATATCAAGTCAAATTAATAATTATGAGGATAATAGCCAGATCTATAGCCAGATCTGATATATCTAGGATCAAGTAGATTTAATACTAAGAGTAAAGTCGACCTACGAGTGCTGCTAGATCAACACATCAATATGGGAGATTACTCTCAAAATTATTCTAGATCTAGACTGGACCTCTCTAGGCTAATATGCATGAGTACGAACCTCCTTGTGATCTACTTTTCCCCTGTGGTCACCTGTCCCTGCTCGTGATCACTAGCGTACTTGTACGTTTTGATCCTATTTTAATAATTGAAATAAACATCTTAGATCTAGTCTTGCAACAAGAAAGATTGAAAACTGAATAAGTAGATCTAGGTCTAGAGATCTACGGGTTTGTTTGATTATTAAAATTATATTTGTATTTTTTTTTATCTCACGGCCTAAGCTCTCGAAGCAATTTACAAAGATGGCGGCGCGGTTTCGTTTTTATTAGCCTATATTAGTAGCGAGGCTCACTAACTTGAAAGCGTCTCTGGTTGCTAACAACAACATGGCGTCCTACACCGGACGCTTAGTTTCGGACATTTTTCTTGTCTGCCCAAGTGACTTTCTAGGAATTCGTTTTTAAAATGTTTACCTCGTGAAAAATGGCGGTTTTTTCACATAATGTAAACAAACTATAAATGGCAGTGCTAAATATTAGGGAGGCTCACTAACTTAAAAGCGTCCTTGGTTGCTAACCAGAACATGGCGTAAGGATCGGACCATGACTTCCGGCGAGTTTTTCGACTTAGTTCCAGAGACCTTCTTAGAATTACTTTTAAAAATGTTTATCACGAGTAAAATGGCGGGTTTTCACGTTATAAAAACATGCTATAGGTGGCAAGGCTAAATATGCCAGAAAAGCATTTTCAGAAATTGCTTTGGGGAATGTAGGCTAAATTTAAAGTCGGTGTCATTCAAAATAATATAACTTTTTAAATATAGATCTCCCTATCACAAAATTGATTTCCCTAGTAAAGCATTATTAGTTTTATCATTCTATGAAAAAATAAATCAAATATCTTCAACCCTTTTTTTAAAGAGTGGCCAAAAAATGACAACCAAAATTTTTTTTTATTTTTTTGACCACGTGACCGCTATTTGATGATCACTAGTGGGGAACTCTGGGTACATGGCCACTTAAAAAGTCTAACCGCATAGGTGGTTCTCTTTAGCTTCAAGTGCCTTCAGGGGTAAGAAGAGTTGTCATGGAGAGATGTGTTGTCCATGGCAGTGAGTGACAATAAATATTAAATTAAGTAATTTAGTTTAAAACGAACTAAAAACCTCAAAATTAGTCCCTAATGGATTAAATATGGATGTCTATCATTCAGTAGTCATGTTTAATTTGAAATTTGGGTAAATTCTAGATTTAGTAAGAAAAGCTACTAAATATGCCAGAGAAACGCTATAAATTGCTTTGGATAATGAAGACCGAAGCTCAAAAAGTGGTGCCGACAAACATTCGTAGATCTTTTTAAATATTAGCTACTACGATGTAGATCGGAAACCGAAAGTACATCAATATTAGATTTAGCAGTCTGTGTAAAAATAAATCGAATATTACATGCGCTAATTTTTTAAAAAATTCTCCAAAATGGTCACCACCAAAAGTAAAAATTCCATAACCCACGTGACCGCTATTGGGCGGGAGACGTTTGCCTAGGTGGCTCTATTGACTCTTTACTACGTTTGTGTTGTTATTTATGTTGACAAGCGTTAAGTGAATATTTTCCAATTTTGATTTTTACATTGCTGGACAAATTAATTAAGTATTTCGATCTGAACATGGGAAGATAGGAGTTAGTTGGTATTTCTGTAAAAGCCCGTAAACCGGTGATCTCGTGGTGAAACGCGATCTCGATACGTCTAGTAAAGTCTAGGTGCTAAATTATTTACTTGCTTTTATTATTACTAATTACGACTTGATCGAATTATAGTTAATATTATTTTCATTTGCTTTCATTTTTTATATAATTGATTATTATGATTTAGATCCAGAAGGACTAGGCTAATAAATTATAATAATCATATTAGAGGACAGCCTGCATAAACAAAAGTTGATCTAGATCTAGTTGACACAGTACTTGGACTTGCGCACACGCTCGCGTGACGAAAGAACGCAAGCGGGCTCGTGACGAATTTGCATAATTTTTCACTCACAAGTGATCAACGTTAATGTGATAGGCGTAGCCTAACAATCTTTAAATAGATCTAGACACCAGCTCTAGATACAAATTTAAGTATTAAAACTCCGCCTGGATATGTCTAGCTTCGGACGGGCGATGTTTCTCTCGTTGACAAAACAACGCGAGCGAGCCGTCACTACGCACAGCCTATGAGTGGCGATGTTTGGAATGCATTTCTCGCTCACATGTGATGAAATTTAATGCAACGGCAGTTTTAAAAATAAAAACAGATATTTTATTATGTCTATATAGATCTACTTTTTTTTAATATTTAAAACTCAGCCTGGACAAAGCTTCCATGCTGGATAAGGGAGGAGGGTTAGATTCCGCCGTTAACTCAATCTATTATTATTAGGCCTAATTGTCCTAATTAAACATTCCTATTTACACTGATTAATCAAGACTGAATAAAAGTGAAAATGAATACCTTTAAAAAGTTTAGATCTATATATTTTTAAACATTTATACGTGATTTTTTTGGTTCATTCCTTTGGCGTTTACTAGAAATACTGTAAATAGATTACATAACCAAGTTACGAGTATCCTTTCGATTTCGTTTTTTTGCAGCATACCTCCACTTCCCCCTCCCCACACATGATCCTTACGAACCTCCTTGGTCGTTTTCAGGTCAACTTTAGGAACCAGATCTTTGAATGGTTGTCATGGAAAAATCTTTCCCAGCTAAGCTGTATGGCACCAATAATTAAAATCATGTATTTTAGTTCAAAATGAGCTAAAATCATCAAATGTAGTGCCTGGTTAGTTAGAGAAATATCTCTAGCTTTTATTGGTATTGGTTAAAAAAATAAATAATTAAAATTAAGATTTAGTGAGCCTCGCTATATATTAGGACTTAGAATGACTTAGATCTAGAATTAGTCTAGATCTAGATCTAGATCTTACATCTTATTAGATCTAAAATTAGGCTTTTTGGGTAAAACTCCAGGTATACCATTCGAATCGTCCCTAGAGGATTTCATAGTGTCAGCCGCCAACCAATCAAACGCGCGCTTTCTCCGCGTTTTGGTTGGCGGCTGACGTCACGGTGACGTCACGCGACGCGTTTTTGGAGCTAAAAAGGGCCGAAAAAGCCATTTTTTTCTACGTGTAGTTCGGATTTTTTTACGTTTTTTAAAATGGGCCCGAAAATGACACTTTTTAAAATTGGACTTAGCCATTTTTTCAAACAATTTGTTCGAAAAAAGGCCATTTTGGGTGATTTTTGGATGTAAACAACGGCCTAGGTCAGCACGTGTCAAACCACGTGAAGGCACCCAATCGACGATTTCGGTCACGTATGAGTGGTTTTTATACTTTCTCGTGAACTAAATACCAGTTTCTTGACAACAAAATGGAAAACGACAATTTCGTGAAAATAACGACCCTAGAGGAATGGCTTTTGAAGATTATTAAATAAAAATCGGTGTATTGGCCACATGTATTGATTCTATCGTTGTCTATAATTGACTAGAAGGGCATGCTGAAACAACGGCCTGAGGGCGCCGTGTAGTGTGTAGTTTCGCTAAATGTAAATTAATCAGCCCGGCCGCAGATCTATCGCAAACTGTTAAAATGGTTGAATGTGAAAAGCATACTACTTACAAATTACTTTTGAATATTCACATCACACAAAATAATCCCAAAGAAAGCACAAAATAAAATCCTTTATAAAAGCATCACCGTGAAATTTAAAAATCACTGTTTGTCAACCTTAACCAGCCATGTTTGGCTCGATCTAGAGGTCATTCTTTAGCCTACACATGTGTCTTGTCAACCAATTTAGTTTCTGATGGTACACGACATTTAGATCAATAAAATGTAACAAACTAACTGAATTCCAACATTATATCCATCTAATCCCAATATTGAAACAGAATTTGAAGCACAATGATCTAACAAATAAATCCAACTCTATGCGAGTGTCGCAGCTTTAGTCCTGGATACCACCATAGTGTGTAGTCGTGTTGTGAGTAAATTTGCACGAGATACAACACCGACCTAGACCTTCCTGGTGTGTATGTCCTGTTACCTACAAAGAGATTAGAAGTTTTATGGTTGGTTAGAAACAGGTGGGGGCTGAGTCGGCTGTATAGCCCCTTAGGGGTAATAAGTATGTGTACCATTTTAAAAATTACCTGGCTAACATCAGATGGCTGAATTTTTACTTTTTAGCAGGTTAGAATTGTATTTCTATCATTTAGACACAAGTCTGTTTAACAATTAATACATTTTGTGTTAATTATTCCTAAACCAGTGTCATATTCAGTGGTCTAATCAATGAGAAACTTGCACATAGGGTATCAAGAGCCACATAACAGTATCTGTTATAACTTTTCTGAACAGGCAAGCTAGTGGACAAAATTAATGTATTCATGTAGATTTAGTTATTATCTAACAAATAAAACCATTATGGTAATGATCAGTCAAGTTTTACTCTGATAATGATAAAAACTTTATAGCATGGTAAAATGGGACAAATGTCGGCCATTTTGTTTTGGCACCAATAATCACTGTGCAAAATAAAATTCACCAAAATAAAACTATTCTAGCCATAGCTATAAAAATAGTGTTAAAATGTACAACAACCAATGCTCTAATACAGGAACAAAGAATGGGCTTGAAAAACTCATTTGGTTTATTACAAAGTGAAGTTTCCCAAGTTATGTCTATTTGGAAAAAAAAAGTTCACAAAATGGTTTTATGGAGATGAGAAATTTTAGGGAAAGAGCAGTGGGATTAAATCCTGTCTCGTCCTCTCCCTATTGGACCAAGTGGGTCATAAATTACATAAAATGAATCCTCTGCTTCTCTGTTATCAAAGAACAGCAGTGGTTGTTACCTCAGAAGTAGATTAGCAGTGTTATTGGGGGTTTTGTGGGGGTGGGGTGTTGTTTGGGGCTTAATACCACACGGCTCGTAACGCCCTCCTTTACCCTATCTCTAACTACTAACTACATTTGATGGTTTTAGCTAATTTGTAAATTTGGGGCTAAAATACAGAATTTTAATTATTGGTGCTTTTTAGCTTAGCTGGGACAGCTTTTTCCGTGACAATCATTCTTAAATCTGGTCCACAAAATTGACAGGAGAGGGACCTTGGAAGTTAGTAAGGATCAAGTGAGGGGAGGGTGGAGTGTCGGTATGTGTCAATAAAACATAATTGCAAGGATGCTCGTAACTTGGTTATGTCATGTAACATATTTACTATTTTTTTAATATAGGCTAATGAATGATCCAAAAATAATCACGTTTTAAATGTTTAAGAATATTTAATATAGATCTAGATCTAAACTTTTAAAAGATATTCATATGCATGTTTATTTCAGTTTAGATTAGGCTTAATTAGTGTGTTTTAGTAATGTTTAATCAGGGCAATTTATAAATGATAGCTATGTCATTGTAAAATGAATCTATCCCTCCTCCCTTACTGGACTTGAAACCTGTGTGTTATTCACAAAGCTTTGTCCATGCTGAGTTTAAAATATTGTTAAGATTTGTATCTATTTTTTTTAACTGTAATCACATTAAAATTGATCAAATTATCGAGAAACGCATTCTAATCAGCATCACTGGCAGTGCCCATGACATGCATCTCGCTTGCGTAGTGACAGACAGATGCTCACTCAAGTAGTTTTGTCAACTAGAAAAGTTAACCTATCAAATACAATTCATCAGGCCTATAAAATTAAGAGGCCTATCACATTAAAATGATCGCCTGTGACCGAAAGATATAGGCAAATTACAAACATTGCAGCCCACCTGTGTTCTTTTGTAAACTGGTGAGAGAAAACTCAAAGCACAGTATGAGCGTGTTCCAAATCTAGTCCAAGTACTTTGTTAGCCCAAGTTCTAATTAATAATTCTAATTAGTAATGTAAGCCTAGACCCAACACTAAAATCATTTAATTTTTCAGACCTCTTAAATCTTAATAATATAAACATTATTTAGCCTAATAAAAGAATATCAACAAAGAACAGTGAGAATAATATTATATTAAACTTAAACTAATTAAAATCTATGAAATCAATAAGAATTAACAAAAATTAATTAAGGGCATGGGCGGGTGATGAGTACCAACTTCCTTTTTTCCGAGTCTAAAGATGTAATACTTGGCTAATAGTTATAACTCAAAGAGTTAAGCATAAAAATATTTTTTAAATCTTCCGTTGCCATGGTGACGGTGGCCATATTGGATTTTATTGACAATTTTTAAATGGAAATAACTCAAAAATGGTTTGTACAAATTTCATGAAAACTTAATATAGTCTGCAGACACATGTGTTTAAGACTTCTGATATATTACATTTTCAAAAAAGAAAATAGTTTTTTTTAAACTTTTTTTTTTCAAACATCACTGTAAAAAATTACATTATTTCGTCCAATTTTTTCACTATTTCAACAAAAAAATTTTTTTTTTTTTTACCAAATATCCAAAAGTGTTCTATCAGTTTTATTTGAATATATATAAAGAGTAACTCGAGCAAATTTAGTTCAGTTCTTTTAATTATTAACAAAGTTATTTCAACAATTGTACAAATAAACACCAAACTGAGAAAAACGCAAAAAACTAACAAAAAGTTGCAAAAAATTAAAATTTATCGCTGTATGTCACTAAAATCGACCACATTTATAGCCTGAAGTATGGTGCTGCTGAATATATTCCTTCTGAGCTTTTTCAGCTGCTAGTTTTCTTTTTTTCTGGCGCTGTTTGTTTTACCTAAAGCTGTAGTAAAGCTGGGTCTTCGACTATGGTTTCCTTCTTTTGACAGCAATGCCATAGCATGCCTGGGCCCAAAATTGAATTATTCTATCGCAGAAACAGCAGTATATTTTGCATGGTCTCATGTCTAAAGCCAATTATGATAAGATGATGTCTTTGTTTATTGTGAAAGGCCTTGTTCTGGATTCTTTTGCAGTTGTATGCTTACGGTTTACAACATTTTTATTACTGCCACACCATGCTTGAAGCAAACCCTTTACACTTTTTTCATCAATAGTAGCCACTACATCACAGTGGGCGAGGAAATATATTGATAACATCAAGAAGCAAATCACATTCGACAATAATTCTGCATGGCTGTGGTTTACAATTAGCACTACCAGTACTAGATGTAACAGTGCTTTCTTCTGTCTGTAAAAACTGTGTCTTACATTGCCGCAGTTTCTTAGTAAATGTGCATATTACATCTGCACCAGTGCTTGTCTGAATAGTGCTAGATTGAGTAGAGGTAGCTGCAATCAGTTGCATTCGGACGTGCTCTAGCTTTAGTAAATTAGTTAGATGTGTGTATCTATTTTTAGCGAGTGTTTTGTTCTACCCATTATCGAAAGAGAAACAAATTAAATCGTCTCTCTGCTTATGATAATTCACACAAACTAGTCTAAACTGTTAATAGTATATGTAATTGCAATAATTATATGTTAAAATAATGTAAGTATTTCATAGAAGCTTAGAGAAACAAAACTAGATCAAACTTAGCAACGTGCTGAAACTAAGGGAATGTTTATTTCCGAAGCGAAACGACCAATCGCTAACTAGCTTCCGCAGTTGTATGCCAATGAAAAAATTGAGGTCAAAAATTTGCATACCGGAAAAACCCGACTGAGTAAAATAAACAACTTTATGACGTAGAAAAATAATCACATTAAAATAGGTATTTTGATTGGTCATTTAATTTTAGAACAAATAAAGAAAGGAGGTCACAGCCTTTCCATTGATATGAAACACATTAGGTTTCCGCGAAGCCTAATAGTACTTTTCTAGGTCGAAAAATTGCTATTTTTACCAAAAAATTAAACAAAAGACCCTGTACACACTACATTGAACCCGGTTTTTCATAAATAAATACTGTTTTTAGGGTCATAACAATGCCATTTTTAGATTCAACGATGGTTATTCTGTATAGATCAAGTAAAAGTGGGAAATCGATGATTTAGTGGATTTATGACGAAAAGTACACCCGCCCATGTCCTTAAGCTATAACACATTTTTCTTCTTCTTCTTTGTTCTTAATTATTAGTGTTGAAGGGGATCGAGATTTATCTGCCAGTGGGTTTGAACTTGAGACTTTGTTCGAATTTATCAACCATGAACTTTTTGCCGACTCGACCACGCCTCCAACACAATTAAGCGTTACGTGTCAACTGGTTATGCGCCATTGAGGCCATTGACTCCGATTTCAGCCTGCTTTTCTTTTTGGATTTGCTTCCATAGCCTTTGTCCAACCAAGAACAAAGTACAAGGCAGCAGTTGTTTAATTTTGGAGTTGTCTCTCCTAGAAGGGTGGCTGTCCCCAGCTAACGAGCCTTATCTGCCTGAGGGTTCGAACTCGAGACTTTTCGGTTTAGCAACCATGGGCTTTACTGACTCTACCACGCCAACCCCTTATAACACATTTGAAAACAACAAATAATTAGGCATAAATAAGCACACAAAGGCCAACTCGCAATAATTTCAAGGATTAACACAAATTAAAAAACAAAATAATAGATCATTGTGGTTTAGGGGCTTTTAGAGTCATAGTATAATCAAAAAGCCAGGTGAAAGATCCATAATGAGACTTAATTAGCCTAATTACGCTAGCAAAATAGGTAAAAAAAAAGTGTCTAGTAAAAAGAACACTTACTTAAGCAGTGACAGAGGATAGCAATGACGTCCCTCACAAAAAAATATTGTTTACGTGACATGTGGGTGATTTTTTTTCTCAAAATGAGTACAGAATATTTACAGTTTTAATTCAGAAACAGATCAATCTAATAATACCCTACCTAACAGTGCAAGTTTGGAACCTTACAGATAGATATTTTAAGTTTTTAAGCAACTTAAAACTTTACCCATGTTTATGTTTGATAAATTTTTTTCTGGCAAAAATAGCTTTGTCATCTTCAGGTAGCATAAAAATACGCTTAAAATCTGCCATTTTTCACGTGATAATCATTTTTTAAAAACCAAATTCTAAGAAAGTCACTTTACTGTTAAGCAAAATTTTGAAAAAACGTGTCTGGTTTTGGGCCTTCAAACAAAATATGTAGGCCTGCTATAATTTTTTTTACACGATCTATCTATAGTTGTTTTTTAAGTTGTAAAAGGTCCTTGAAATTTTTAAAAAACCTTGAAATGCAGTGTTTGTGAAAATTGCTGCTGTCACTGCACTCATCCTATTTTCTCCTCCCACCACTTGTAAAAAAAATCAGCTATTTGCTTTGGGGGGAGGTGGGGCGCTACATCTCTGACATTAGTATTAGCATAGTTACTTCTGAAATCTTCTTCTTCATAATGAAATATACATGTCAACTGGTTATGCGCCATTGAGGCCATTGACTCAGATTTCTTCCTGCTTTTCTTTTTGGATTTGCTTCCATAGCTTTTGTCCACCCAAGAACAAACTACAAGGCAGAAGTTGTTTGATTTTGGAGTAGTCTCTCCTAGAAGAGTGGCTGTCCTCTGCTAACGAGCCTCATCTGCCAGAGTGTTCAAACTCGAGACATATCGGTTTAGCAACCATGAGCTTTACCGACTCGACCATACCAACCCCACTTCTGAAGTGATTTCTTAGTAAAAATGTTTCTGTAATCCTGCGATGTTACTTACGAATTTCCACAATATTTTTTTTTATGTCATCGCGCATATCAAGGTGGGGGACATTGGTGGTGAAATGGTGCAACATAAGGTTTTAGATTTTGATGTGGAAATTAGCCATATACCTGGGTATGTTGTAAAAGCAGGCATACGACAGTGTACATTTGTGTTGTACGCCTACCACTTGTTATAGTTCAGGCCTGCTAAAAAAAAATTCTTAGATATTTCTACACATTTCTGTATTACCAACAGTAGAAAAAGTGACCACTGCCACTACAGAGTTGTTTGTATTGTGGTTTACATGCATGGGGGTAGGCCTAGAGATTGTACTAACATTTTAAACTAATTATGTTGTATTATATATTGGATATATTTTTTAATAGACTGATAAACCTAATAGTTCTTCAATCTTCAATTCATTTTTCTACTTCCCGGGCTAATATTTTAAAAGTTCTATCATTTTTAATGGTACCAACTTTTAAATATACCTTCCTTCTTCAAAGCAAATTTTAAAATGTTTTTCTGGCATATTTTGCCCTGCCACCTATAGCTTGTTTGTATACCGTGAAAAACCAACATTTTTGCTCTTGGTAAACGTTTTAAAAACTAATTGTAAGAAGGTCACTGGAGCTAAGATGAAAAAATCTTTGAAAGTCATGCATCTGGTGTGGACATCATATTGATGTTAGCAACGATCCACACCTCCAAGGTAGCGAGTAATACTAATAGTTTTGTGTCAAATATAATAGTAATAGATAATTGAATAATAAACCAAAATCAATGTCCAAATATATCAATATAAGCCAGAAATTAACTTTAAACAGCCTATTTTGCGAGCAAGATTTGCTATATAAACAGCTGCCAACTGTAAATTAGGGTGGTTTCCCTTGAATCTCTAGCTTAAACAAGATGGCTGCTTTAGTAAATGAGCTTGGTTGCATCAAGTAAAAACATCGTTAATCTTTATTTATTACTGAAATGTTTTACTACTGATGTTTTAAAACACGCACATCAATAAAATTTTGTAACATTTTTGTAGCTTTCAAAATGTGAATCCTTCTAAAAATGCCAACTAATTACAAAAATTTGATATGTCACCCTTTTTTTCTTTCTCGTATACAGGGTATAGAGAAAGTATTCTGATAGTGCACAAAAATCGCATGAAATTGTGACGGTTTTCAGTTTTTCACCTCAGTCCTTCATCTGGAGTATAGAAGACTTACTTTAATCGGGCAAAAATTATAAACCCACATTTATCAAATTTTTGACGTTTTATGCATAATCGAGTCTGAGAAACTGGCCTTTGCAATTCTTTCAGTGTATGTGTGTCTGTGATCACGATAACTGGAGTACAGTTGATAAAATTTCATATATAAGTATATCAAATTTCTAGTTCTGTATCAACTTTTCAGCGATTTCTGATTAACCGGAAGTGGAACTTATTCTACTTTAAATTTTTCAAAAGCCTATAACTTGAGTTCTGTTTCAGATAGCCAAATGAAATTTCATATGTAAGTAAAAGATCTAATTTTCCACCTTCTTTCAAATTTAGAGTAATTTCCGTTGACCAGAAGTAGTAATGGAGGCTATTTCCAATTTCTCAAAAATGCATGTGAATATATAAAGTACTAATAATATTCCGCACTATTATACACATTTTGTTTCGCGTTTCCTTGGTGCGCAATTCTTTTTTCTACAAGATTCTATTCTATTTTAAAAAGTTTAAGTACTTAAACATGGATTTAAAAATCATGTCTATATATTGTATATCCCGAGTTGCCAATCCCCCGTAGTGTTATATAAGAAAATTCAAGAAAGCTTAGGGGAGATCACTACTGGCTTTTTAACATTACTAGCCTCTGCAGATTTTATGTACATAAAACCATAGATTACCTTAGTCTGTTAATTAAGAATAGTAAGGTGTACTTTTGACCTAATTTCTTTATTTATCTCGCGACACTTTAGTAAAAGTAGCTTTGTATATTCTTGTTTTAAAATGATCTTACAATCAAATAAACTTCTAAACTATGATTCTAATGTTATGCCGTGTGTGATTAAACAACGGTTAGGGAATAATTCTCATGTCCTTATTTGTGGTCACTATGCCAGTCATATATACCCCCCCCCCCCCTCCCCATTAATGCCATTTTATTATAATCTTGTGAAAAACAAGGCGCGTTTAGATGTGTACTGCGCCCAAAGCCAATCATTTGGCCAGATTTATTATTTGTCATGTCGCCCCATATTTTAAAAACGTAAAGCGTTGCGCTTTCCTCATTGACGATTGTTTTATTTCTTTTCATTTTTTAAAGTGAAAATATGAATTGTTATGATTGCAGTTTTTGTAACATGGTATACTTACCTTCTGTCAATTTAAAAAGCATGGCATGTTAATTTTGTACAAATATTGTATAAAACAAAAAAAATTTTTAAGTTTGATTTTATTTTCTACCATAATCCGCCACTCTTAGGCATATACAATACATTAATTATTTTATTTTTAAAATTGTTTATTGATTGTGTTAACTTTAAGCTATCTAAATTCATTTCTAAGATGTTTTAATATGCTTCTGAGAAGTTTTATTGAAAAAACTTTGTTTTGACTATAGTTACTAGATCTATATAATCACCACTTTAACATTTAAATATCTAATCCTCAGTTTATTTATAAGAAGCAGCATGGGAGAGGCAACTGCTGATTTAGATTTACAGTCTGATGAGTTTAAAGAATTTTCAAATTCTGAAGATGTGAAGCCACTTCTATCTACAGTATTTTCATCTTCTTCTGGCATAAAAACAGAATTATCATTTTTAACTTTCCCTGATATCAAACCAAACTTGACATTTATAGCTTCACAGGATGATAAAACCGTTGTTACGCCAGATTTTTCATCTTCTACAGACACAAAGTCAGAATGTACATCATTTTCCTCTTTTGATGATGTAAAACACCATATGACATTTCTAACATCTCAGGATAAAACAACAGGATTTTTAATTTTTAAAGATATGGAACCTGCTGTATCAGCAGTATGTACAAGATCTGAAGATATAAAACCAGAATTAGAAACTTTATCAACCAACACAGAATTAGAAATTGTATCAACTACTGAAGATATAAATCCAGAATTAGAAAATAAATCAACTAGTGAAGATCTAAAACGAGAATTAGAAACTTTATCAACTAGCGAAGATATAATACCAGAATTAGAAACTTTATCAACCAACAAAGATTTAAAACCAGATTTATGGACAAAATTTTTAGATTCTGAGGACAAACAACAAAATGGACTTGAAGAAAAGCTAAAACTCCCTGAAGATGAAACATATCTGTCTGTTGATCCTCATAATTGTCATGAACAGTTTTTTCAAAGATCTAACTTGAATAAACAAGCTCAAGTAGGGGAGAGGCCACTTGAATGTGATGCTTGCCATAAAAGGTTTTCAGATAGTTCTAGGTTAAATGAACATAAAAAAGTTCATTCAGGAGATAAGCCATATGAATGTGATGTTTGTCATAAAAAGTTTTCTAAGAGTTATTATTTATATAGACACAAAACAGTTCATTCAGGAGATAAACCATTTGAATGTGTTGTTTGTCATAAAAGGTTTTCATATAGTTCTAGGTTAAATGAACATAAAAAAGTTCATTCAGGAGATAAGCCATATGAATGTGATGTTTGTCATAAAAAGTTTTCTAAGAGTTCTAATTTATATAGACACAAAACAGTTCATTCAGGAGATAAACCATTTGAATGTGATGTTTGTCACAAAAGGTTTTCATATAGTCCTATTTTATATGAACACAAAAGCGTTCATTCAGAAGATAAACCATATGAATGTGATGTTTGTCATAAAAAGTTTTCACATAGTGCTAATTTATATGCACACAAACAAGTTCATTCAGAAGATAAACAATTTGAATGTGATGTTTGTCATAAAAAGTTTTCTCAGAGTTCTAGTTTATATAGACACAAAAGAGTTCATTCAGGAGATAAACCATTTGAATGTGATGTTTGTCATAAAAAGTTTTCTAAGAGTTATTATTTATATAGACACAAAAGAGTTCATTCAGAAGATAAACCATTTGAATGTGATGTTTGTCATAAAAAGTTTTCATATAGTGTTAATTTATATACACACAAAAGAGTTCATTCAGGAGATAAACCATTTGAATGTGATGTTTGTCATAAAAAGTTTTCTCATAGTTCTAATTTAAGGACACATAGAAAAGTTCATACTGGAGATAAACCATTTGAATGTGATGTTTGTCATAAAAAGTTTTCATATAGTGTTAATTTATATGAACACAAACAAGTTCATTCAGAAGATAAACCATTTGAATGTGATGTTTGTCATAAAAAGTTTTCATATAGTGCTAATTTATATGAACACAAACAAGTTCATTCAGAAGATAAACCATTTGAATGTGATGTTTGTCATAAAAAGTTTTCATATAGTGTTAATTTATATGAACACAAACAAGTTCATTCAGAAGATAAACCATTTGAATGTGATGTTTGTCATAAAAAGTTTTCATATAGTGCTAATTTATATGAACACAAACAAGTTCATTCAGAAGATAAACCATTTGAATGTGATGTTTGTCATAAAAAGTTTTCTTGGAGTACTAGTTTATATAAACACAAAAGAGTTCATTCAGAAGATAAACTATTTGAATGTGATGTTTGTCATAAAAAGTTTTCTCGGAGTTCTAGTTTATATAGACACAAAAGAGTTCATTCAGGAGATAAACCATTTGAATGTGATGTTTGTCATAAAAAGTTTTCTCAGAGTTCTAGTTTAAATACACACAAAAAAGTTCATTCAGAAGATAAACCATTTGAATGTGATGTTTGTCATAAAAAGTTTACATATAGTTGTAATTTATATACACACAAAAGAGTTCATTCAGGAGATAAACCATTTGAATGTGATGTTTGTCATAAAAAGTTTTCTCAGAGTTCTAGTTTAAATACACACAAAAAAGTTCATTTAGAAGATAAACCATTTGAATGTGATGTTTGTCATAAAAAGTTTTCTCTGAGTTCTAATTTAAGGAAACATAGAAAAGTTCATACTGGAGATAAGCCAGATGAATGTGTTGATTGCCATAAATATGTTTCTAAAATAAAGCGGCTCCCGACATATTGGCTCCCGATATAAGTGCTCAAGACAAAATAAATGCATTAACTGGGTGTTTACCAAGTTTTATTTTTAGTGTAAAATTAATGTTGTATTTGTTTAGATGTTAATTAGTTTTGCTCAGCTCTATTAGACTCCTTTGTCACCACGCAAAGGTGCACGGATTTGAGAGAATAATGGTCAATACCATCTTACCATGTATTAAGAATTCGAGGGATGTTTCCTTGATTATGAAAACTGGCTAGGTCTTATTTGTATCCTTTTGTTTTTTGCTTGTGTAAAATACATTTTTGTGAAGTAGGATGAAGTTAAATAAATGCATTAACTGGGTGTTTACCAAGTTTTATTTTTAGTGTAAAATTAATGTTGTATTTGTTTAGATGTTAATTAGTTTTGCTCAGGTCTATTCGACTCCTTTGTCACCACGCAAAGGTGCACGGATTTGAGAGAATAATGGTCAATAACATCTTACCATGTCTCTCTTTTAATCGGTTAACAAAAACAACCGTCCCCTTACATTTTGGTGTCAGAAGTGCGATCGCAGATGATCCCTCTTTCTCGAACAACTAAATCCCCCTAACATATATATATATATTTATATATATATATAAATAATTATAAACTAGCCGGCCAGGCACCAGAATTTTTTCCATGCATCTACCGCCCCCCCCCCCCCCTATGACCTGTGTGTTGTGTTCAGCATATACCCGGCATAGCCCGGATTTAATATATATATTACCTTTTTAATTAACCCTAACCACAAACAAAAACGCAAACATAACTTGAGTAGGCCTACTGTTTCACATAGAGAAACGAAATTTCACTTAAACGTAAAAGATCTAATTCTCTGCTTTCTTTCAAATTTTGAGTAATTTTCATTGACCGGAAGTAGAACTTTACGCTATTTCCGATTTCTAAAAAAACGCATATGAATTAATGAAGTACTAGTTTTCCGCACTATTATTTAAATATTTTTTTCCGTTCACTTGCTGTGCAATTCTTTTTTCTTTTATGCACTCTTGGTATTTTAAAATCTTGAGGCGAGACCTAGAAACAAATAACCCCATTTTTTGTTTGTTTGTTAATAATGGTAACCATGATCACAAGAGAAAATTCAGTTTGAAAATTCACACCTCTCCCTGGCTAGCGAGATATCAAATAACAGTGAGAGAGAACATGTCTTACAAGCCATACACTCGGCAGCATTTGTAAAAGTAGTTACTATAAGTCCATAGTAACGATGAAAACAGTTCTATAGAATACAAGGCATCACTATAACATGACAACACAACTGCAAACAATGGATGGTTGCAATGTTTTTATTGAATACAATGTTTGTATATAAAGTTAGGTGTGTTTATATTCATAGTTATTAAATTTTAATGTTTTATTGACGTTAATATCTAAACTACAAAAGATTGCATTTATTATTATCTATTTTTATCATTGAATGCATTACAATTATTAATGTAGGTTATTGTTTCTTTTGCTTAAATCAACAGACAGTTGTATAATGAATATTATTACAAAACAGTCTTATTTTAATAAAATATTTCCTAAAAAATAATGTGATTCTTGTAATTCATTTATATGGTCACATAAATTGCAAAGCACTGAGTTTACATTTTGTTCGTGATGAGGCGGGGGGGGGGGGGGGGGGGGGTTATGAACATATTTGTTCTGTAACGTCCTGTGGAGTATGGGGTAGGTTTCAAATGTCTTGTAGGTATGTAATGAAACATACACGTCTGGACGATCGTTACTATAGGGCTGGTAAGTAGGTCACCAACCAGTTCTACAGCTCAATAAAACCTGCATGAGCCATAGAACTATTTATTGACCTACTTACCAGCCCTATACTTGTCAGCATGTCTAATACTTGTGTCAACAAAAACATTTTGCACGAGATCACTGCGAAGAATGATTTGATTCGTTTTTAAATCGACTTTCTCGGGTTTTAAAAAAAAAAGTTATCTGCAAAATCCAAGTAAGTTATGTAACATCCGGGATCTCTTAGGTGACTTCAACTGTCAGTTAATATAACCCAGTCATTCTACTATAACTTATCTATTATGTCTGCACTCAGCCAGCATTATATCTTATTTCTTCTCATCCAGCCAACTTTATATCCTATTTCTTCTCAAGCAACCAGCTTTATGTCCTACAACTTCTCATCCAAACAGCTTTATATCCTATAACTTCTCAATCAACCAGCTTTATGTCCGATATCTTTTCATCCAACCAGCTTTATATCCTATAACTTCTCAATCAACCAGCTTTATATCCTATAACTTCTCATCCAACCAGCTTTATAAATTATATCCTATTACTTTTCAATCAACCAGCTTTATGTCCTATAACTTCTCAATCAACCAGCTTTATGTCCTATAACTTCTCATTTATGTCATATCTTCTCATCCAACCAGCTTTATGTCCTATATCTTCTAATCCAACCAGCTTTATGCCCTATATCTTCTCATTTATGTCCTATATCTTCTCATACAACCAGCTTTATGTCCTATATCTTCTCATCCAACCAGCTTTATGTCCTATAACTTCTCATCCAATATGTCCGCATCCAGACAAGCGTACTGTTCGCTCTGGAATAGTTCCAGATTGATGTAATCTTTTTCTTTTTCCAGCAGAGTCTCGAACCTGCGATACAGGGCATCAAACGTTGGACGGTTCTCTGGGAGGAAGGACCAGCAGCTGCACATGAGCTCGTATCTGGGGACAGGGAGGGTTAGGGTTAGTTGGTTGGTTATGGGGGAGTTGGGGTGGCGTTTTGTGTGGGATTGTGGGAGGTGAGTTGTAGGATTGTGTGGGGGTGGGAGATTGTGTGGGATTGTTGGAGTTGAGTTGTAGGATTGTGTGGGGGTGGGAGATTGTGTGGGGGTGGGATTTATTGTGGGAGTTGAGTTGTGTGGGAGTTGAGTTGTGTGGGGTTGTGAATGGTTGGGATTATGTATGGGGGTGAGTTGTGTGGGATTGTGGGGGTGGGTTTGTTTTGATGGAATTGTGTGGGGTGGTTGTTACCTCAGAAGTAGATTAGCAGTGTTATTGGGGGTTTTGTGGGGGTGGGGTGTTGTTTGGGGCTTAATACCACACGGCTCTTAACGCCCTCCTTTACCCTATCTCTAACTACTAACTACATTTGATGGTTTTAGCTAATTTGTAAATTTGGGGCTAAAATACAGGATTTTAATTATTGGTGCTTTTTAGCTTAGCTGGGACAGCTTTTTCCGTGACAATCATTCTTAGATCTGGTCCACAAAATTGACAGGAGAGGGACCTTGGAAGTTAGTAAAGATCAAGTGAGGGGAGGGTGGAGTGTCGGTATGTGTCAATAAAACATAATTGAAAGGATGCTCGTAACTTGGTTATGTCATGTAACATATTTACTATTTTTTTAATATAGGCTAAAGAATGATCCAAAAATAATCACGTTTTAAATGTTTAAGAATATATAATATAGATCTAGATCTAAACTTTTAAAAGATATTCATATGCATGTTTATTTCAGTTTTGATTAGGCTTAATTAGTGTGTTTTAGTAATGTTTAATCAGGGCAATTTATAAATGATAGCTATGGCATTGTAAAATGAATCTATCCCTCCTCCCTTACTGGACTTGAAACCTGTGTGTTATTCACAAAGCTTTGTCCATGCTGAGTTTAAAATATTGTTAAGATTTGTATCTATTTTTTTTAACTGTAATCACATTAAAATTGATCAAGTTATCGAGAAACGCATTCTAAACAGCATCACTGGCAGTGCCCATGACATGCATCTCGCTTGCGTAGTGACAGACAGATGCTCACTCAAGTAGTTTTGTCAACTAGAAAAGTTAACCTATCAAATACAATTCATCAGGCCTATAAAATTAAGAGGCCTATCACATTAAAATGATCGCCTGTGACCGAAAGATATAGGCAAATTACAAACATTGCAGCCCACCTGAGTTCTTTTGTAAACTGGTGAGAGAAAACTCAAAGCATAGTATGAGCGTGTTCCAAATCTAGTCCAAGTACTTTGTTAGCCCAAGTTCTAATTAATAATTCTAATTACTAAGTACTAATTAGTAATGTAAGCCTAGACCCAACACTAAAATCATTTAATTTTTCAGACCTCTTCTTAATAATATAAACATTATTTAGCCTTATAATAGATTGACGATAGAAGCATGTGGTTGTATATAACGTTTATTGGGTCTAACTACATGACGGTACCACACAGAGAGGAAGGAAGTACAATGCACCAGGGACATCACTCAAGATAACCATATAAATATAATACTAATACAGAAGAGTGAGTTCCCTTGACCTCACAATTATCTCAATCTATTACATCCCTTTACCCTTAGAACACAATAACACATCTCTCAATAGAACAATTGATAGTATCCTAAAATCACCAGTTATATTGTAACATGAACGTTATGGTAGATTACATCCTTACAAACAATGCACAATATGTTACAACATAATTAAAATACAAAACAATAATGTCAAAGTCCTCTTGACCTTTAAAATCATAGGTCTAACTTATTTGGGACTTTGATTGTCCTGCTTGACCTTCTCAGTGGCTTTTGATTTGGTGACTCAAGATTCTGACCATCTGGATTCTCTATCTCAGGAGGTCTAGGATTTAAATCATTAACTCCAGAATTTACATTTTCTGACTCCAGACAACTTGGTTCACTCATATCAACAGAACTTGGTTGTGGAACAAACTGAGTTGGTGTGAACTGATCAGATTTGGTGGGATTGACAGATTCACACTTATTATCTGCACAAGTTATTTTTAACTTTATAAGGCACAGGTCCTGTACATTGAACAATTTGACCTGGTATCCATTTTTCCTTTCTCCCATAGTTTCTTAGATACACATTCTCATTAACACCAAATTCTCTTTCAATGAATGTTTTGTCATGATTTAATGGAACTATTTTTGAATTGGCATCTGGAAGTATTATGCTGTTATTCAGATCCTTAACTGACATAGATTTCTTTGATTGATCAATTTTCTCAGGTAATCTGATAGTGCTTTCCTGGTAACCAAAAATACTGTTTATGAGTAATATTCTGGACCATATCACTTTGCAACTGTGATCCAGTATTTGAAGTGGGTGTATTAAATGGCCAAAAATCGTTTTTTCTTTTCTTTTGATGTTACCCTTTTAGTTTCTGTAAGTGCTAATGATGTTAGCAAAGTTGTTTGATGATCACATTCCTTCTTACTAATGTATTCTCTTTAAAACATTTGAAATTGCCATATCACCATAATCATTTATTAAGTTACAAATATTTTGTTTAGGCAACTCTGACTGATAATGG